TTTTAACCTTGGGTAAACAAAAGAAAATGTTGGTGCAGTTTTAGAACTATTGAAGAAATAAATGGAGTCTTGACTGTATGTCAAGAGAGCACCAAATCTATGCATCAGATAATAATTTATTATTTCAGGTGCTGAAAGGATTGGACCTTCCCAATGATCTTCCACCTTACTCAGTGGGTCACCTGCCACTCAGCAAAGTAACCTAATGGAAGTTTATATGAAACTGAATAGGAATTTTTTGGGGGAGGCTGTAGATAACAGAAAACTCATTCAAAATCCACCATGAGATGACACTTCACATCTATTAGGGTGGCTATTATTTAAAAAGGAATATAATATGAGTTGGTAAGGATGTAGAAGAATAGGAAATGTTGCTGGTGGGACTGTGAAATGGTACAGTTGCTAAGGTAAATAGTATGGCAGTTTCTCAAAAAATTATAAATAGAATTGCCATATGATCCAGCAATTTCACTTCTGGGCATATACTAAATAATTGAAAGCAGGGACATGAATAGATAATTGTACATTTACAGTCATTGCAGACCAACAGTGGAAGCAATCCCAGTGTCCATTGACAGATGAATGTGTAAAAAAATGTGGTATTTTTATATACATACAATGGAATATTATTCAGCTTTAAAAAGGAAGGAAATTCTGATACATATTATAACATGGCTGAACCCTGAGGACATTATGCTAAGTGAAATAAGGCAATCACAAATACTGTATGATTCCATTCAGATGAGATACTTAGTCAAATTCATAAAAACAGAAAGTAGAATGGTAGTTTCCAAGATCTGAGATGGGTGGCAGAATAAGAAATTATTGTTTAGCTGGGCATGGTAGCACACAGCTTTAATCCCAATGAATTAGGAGGCTGAGGCAGGAGGATCACAGTTCAAAATGAGCCTCAGCAACTTAGCAAGGTCCTAAGCAACTTAGTGAGACCCTATCTCAAAATAAAAAACATAAAAGGGTAGGGGATGTGGCTTAGTGGTTAAGTGCCCCTGCGTTCAATCCCCAGTACACAAACACACACACACACACACACAAAAAAAAAAAAAAAAGGAAGGAAGAGATGTGTGAGGGTAAAATGACAAGCCACTAGTACAAGGACACGGTTTTATGTCCCTGGAGCATAGTACAGGTGAGGGAGTGGTAGGAGAGAAGACTGGAAAAACAGAATGGAATCAAATCATCAAGGTCTTTGGCTAGGCTGTTCTTGTTTCAAGTTATTGAGGTAAAACATACATACAATAAAGTACATTAAACATAAGGCAACATTCCAACAAATTTTTCATATGTATAATCAACTCATATAATCATCATAGCGATCAAGATCTAGAACATTTCCAGCATTCCAGAAATTTTCTTCATGCTTTTTCCCAGAATATCCATCCCCAGAGGGAACTACTATTCTGGCCTCTATCAATATTAATTAATTCTGCTTGCTCTTAAACTTCATAGAAGTGGAATTATACAAATGTACCCTTTTGTATTTGGCTTCTTTTACTCACGTAATGTCTGTGACATGCCTCTGTGTTGTTGCATATATCGGAGTTTGTTCATTTTCTTTTTCTCGAGTATTCCATTGAATAAATATCTCACAATTTGTTCATTTTCTCGTTGATGTGCATCTGGGTCATTTCCAGTTCTGTGATGGCATAAATACAGTTATTATAAACCTTCCTATGCCTGTCTTTTGGTGAATGGATGCACTCTTTTCTTTTGGGCATAGACCTAGAAGTGGGCAGGCACATTCTTCTCCATAGATACTGCCCAACACTCTCGAGTAGCTATACTAAGGGAGTTTTTACTTTGGCCTGAGGAAGTCAGGAAGTTATATGATGAAATTTACATCTGCCAGGCACAGTGGCACATGCCTATAATCCCAGTCACTCTGGAGGCTGAGGCAGAAGGATTTCAAGTTTAAAGCCAGCTTCAGCAACTTAGTGAGACCCTGTCTCTAAATAAAAAATAAAAATGGCTGGGGATGTGGCTCAGAGATTAAGCACCTCTGGGTTCAATCCCCAGTATAAAAAAAAAAAAGAAAGAAAAATAAATTTACATCTTACTCTCTCAGCTCCTGAATTAGATGTACTGAAAAGAGATGAGATTCTAGGGCGGGACACCTGTAGGGAATCACAAAGGAGGAGCAATAGACCTGGTGAGGGATGATGAGGCCGAGTTTGGGCAATGGGCATGGAGGAAGAGGATGGTTTAGAGAGATGGTAAGAAGGTAGAAATTATGATTGGAAGTGTGGGAAGAGAAAGAATGAAGTCCAGGATGACTGCCAGGCCTCTGACTTGGTTGCAGCAGAATGTTGGCGCTCTTCCCTGAAAGAGAGGGCACCAAGAAAGAACTGGATTGAGGAAGAAGATGAGCTCTGTTTGGAACATGTTCAATCAGAGGAACCTATAGGAAATCAAGGTAGTATCCAGTAGGCAGTAGAGGACACCGCAGACTGGTGATTTATATTATGGAATCAAGAGAATGACTGAATCATCTAGAGCTTTTGGAAAGAGGATCCCAAGGTGATGATGAAGGCATTTCCTGAGAGGTGGGAGGAAAACCAGGAGTTTTCCTGCTGCGATGAAAACCTGAAGAGGGAGAGTTTCCACAAGGAGGAAGTAGTCAACCTCTCAGAGGCTGCTCAAGATGTCAGGAGAGATAGGTACTGAAAGGTATCCAGTGATACTGGGCTGGCTAGGCCTCCTGCCCCCTCAGGCCTGGTTCATGGCCTCTCAGCCTGCTGCAAGGGGACAGAGAATCAGCCTCAGTCCAGGGAAAGTGTTGTGGCCTTTCTGAGAAGTTTTGTGGGGACCTCAGCTGGACAATAGAGGGCAGACAGCAGCTACCACAGGGGCTAACCAAGTCCCTCCTGACATTGAAAGCAGTGACATTTCCCCTATGGAAATTCCCTGTTGTAAACCATATTGACTTTAATCTCAAGTGTCAGAAGGTTGCCCAGGAGTCTGAGAGCCAACCAACTGAAAGCACATTTGTATGGAAGTCAGGGTAAACAAAATAGGGTTCAGAACATTTTTTGAGATTCACACCAATGCTGAACTTTTCCAGGAAATATGACAAAAACTTCCCTCTTAGGCAGAGAAGCACTGGGGTTTATCATTATTAATTTGTATTCCAACTGATACTTAAACTTGGGGAAACAGAGAGGGAAAGAATAGCACATGTCCTTTTTCTTTGCCAGGCCCAAGGGGATTGGAGGAGGCTCCCTAGAGTTTAATAGGCAGCTTTATGTATTTATATGCTTTGACTGGAGCTAAAGAGCTCTGTGTCACACAATGGGCAGTTTCTAGTTGGATTTTAAAAGAAATAACTTTGATCATTTCAAAAGCAATGAAGCCTGATGCAGTGGAGAGAAAAGAAGGCGGTAATTTATGGCTACCATTAAGAACACAAAGACAAAGGCGGAGAGAACGTTTCACTAAGTGAAGATTTACAAATGTGTAAAAACCATCCTATGACTAGAAATAGCTGAATGTCTCTCTCAGCACCAAACACAAAAGGGGAGGGAGGGAGGAGCAGAAGACAGAAAAAGGGATGCAACCTGCCTGCCTTTGCTGCGAATGAAAAGGTCAATCTGAAAACAACTACAGAAAACTTATTTTCTCAAATTCTCCATCAAGCAGCAGCACTAGTAACACCTGCAAAGAGGCAGGCTCAGCAGGGGCTCTGGGCAGCAGATAGAGGTGCTGAGGGTGCAGAGGGTGGGAGTTCAGGGTAGCAGATGTGCACCCCCCCAAAAAAATTTCTGTTTGTGTGCATGACCTAAGTGGGGTTTTCTGTGACATTTGTTTTCTGTTCACCAAAGGAATTAACATGTGTGTTTTCATAGGAGAGAGTGGAATAAATGCTGGGCAGAGAAACTCAATGGAGAACACTCATATACTTAAGTATGGCATTTCTTGCATCTAGGGCTTGTTACTGCGTTTGTTCCTGAAGTGATGCTTAGTGTACAGCTCCAACCATCTCATCTGTGCCTAGGGTGATGTAGGAAGACCTGGTGCCTGTGTTCCCTTGTAAGGACTGTTAAGCTTGGAGAACCTAATGGCAGGCTGGCCAGACCTGATGTTTATGAGTTTAGATGGTCATCAATGCCACCTGCATTCCAGGAAAAGTTGGAGTCTTTTTTTGTTGTTGTTGTTGTTGCTGGCCCACTCTTGATCTCTAGACACGTTTCCCTTCAAGAAAATAACATTACCTGGTTTGCAGTGAAAGGAACATTTTTTGCAGTGATTCTAAGTCCAGAAGTGTGTTTCTTTCTGTGACATCGTGACCCACAGTGGGACAAGTGTGCCGGTGCCTTCAAAGGGTTGTGGGATGGGAAATCAGAGGGTGTGGGTTGAGCAGTATGGAGAACGTTGCGGGTATGTGCAGGCGTCAACAGAGAAGCTGCCACTCTCTCCATTTGCATTGCTGTTTTCTTGAGTGCTACTCACAGGGTCAAGAGTATGTGTAGCCCCAAGACGGCTTTGGAGTTTGGGAACCATACTGGACACTTTCGGGGTGCCCTGTAACCGAACTTTTCAGGCTAGTAAGACTATTCGTCCTCACAAGAGGTAGTGGGTCAAGTTGTAGGACACTGCGAACCCGTGGAGCACCGACAAGGTTCTTGGAGCGCTGGAGCCAAGCGGGTGCGGTAGCAGCGGTTGGTGCCGGGGGCTGCGCGGGACGCGGGCACCGCCAGGCCCGCCCCAGCAGGCTGACAGCCGCCCTCGGGCCACCGCGGCCGCGCCCCCTCCGCCCGGGGCCGGGGAGGGGCAAGGGCGGGCGGGGAGGCACTGCCCCCAGCGCCGCCCGCCCCGGCCCGGGGAGGACCCTGTGAAAATGAGGCCGGGGCTCGGGGAGCGGGCGGGGCCCGGCCGGGGGTGTCAGAGCGCGGCGGGCAGGGCGCCCGCACACACCTCCCGGAGCTGCAGCCGCCGTGCTCGCCGCCTGCGTTGCGTCGCCTTTGCCCGCAGCCGCCGCGCCTTCCATGGGGGTCGCGAGCCGCGGCCGTCCCGGGGCGGCCCGGGCGCTGCTGCTGCTGTCGCTGCTACTGACGGGGACCGTCCCGCCGAGCCGGGGCCGCTCCACCGGGCAGCCAGAAGGTGAGTGTCCGTCCGCTAGGATGCACCTGGCACAGCGCGGCGGCTCAGACGAGCAGGCGGGCGGTGGGAAGAGTGTCCTGGGAGCCCTATGGGGTCCTTCGAGCCGGCAGCGTGGGACCAGGGACTTGGCGGCTGGAGTTCGCGTGGCCCTTGCTCTCCTAGGGCCCTCACCCGCTGACCAGGCCGAGGCGCCACTATCGCTTGGGCTAGAGGCCCAGGGCCTGATTTCCCTGGCCCAGCCTCGGACCCTGGGCTATTGACAGTTTACATCCCATAGCCCAGGGACTCTGCTCCCGCCCTCCCCCAAAAGTGCCTGCTGGTCAGATTGTAGCAGTTGAGCAGGGAGGAGAGTATTGGGGCCTCCAGGCCAGGTCCCCATTGTGTAGATGGGGAAACTGAGGGCCAAGCCTGGGGTACATTCACAAGGCCAGAGCAGCCTTTCCCTGTCTTTTTCTTTTGTATGGGAAGTTCTCCTAGTGGCCCTCGGGGTCAACTTGTATCTGCGGAATGATCGTGGTTTGAAAATTGGAAATGTCCTTAAGCAGCAACCAGCCTAGATTTTGGGCAGCCAGAGGTAAGAACTCTGGAAATTCTGCACTAACTGGACTTGTAATACTTTCAAAACTCTCGTTTTACATTAACATCCTGGAGAGGGGTCAACCCAGGAAATACTTTTGCGAAGGCCAGTTCCCATGTGAAGAGCATGGGCAGGGGTGCGGGTGGGGCAGTTGGGTACTATACCGGGTTTGCTCCATCTGAGAGCTCTGGATAGTTTTTGCTCAGAGCTCAGGGTAAACCTCTGGGTGACAGACAACTGCTCTCCTTTCAAAGCTGTTTTGCCAATTTGGTTCTTCCCTCCGAAGACATTTTACTGTTGTTTCCTTATGTGCCAGGCACTGTGCTGGCTTGATATCAAGGCCATGACTCAGTCAAGACATTATCTAGTGAAGATGCAGCCAGGAAATAATGACAACCCTACATGATATGTGCTGTGAAAGGAGAGCACAGGATAGCATATAACTCCCCTATGGTGAGAGTCATGGCAGGCTTCCAGAAGGATGTGAATCTGAACCAAGTCTTGAAGGCCAGTTGGTGATGGTGGAGTAATTCCAATTAGAGGAAACCAGATGGACCTAGCAATAGGGACCTGGACATGGTATGGCTCATCCCAGGGCTCTCAAGCACTTTCCGTTCTGAGGAGTCAAGAGGGGTGGGCTGGTGGAAGGTGATGTTAAAGAGGGCCAAGCCAGATCACACATGGCTTGGACACCAAATCAGGTGCATGCTGTGCTCTTTTACAGATGTGGATGAGTGTGCCCAAGGGCTAGATGACTGCCATACAGATGCCCTGTGTCAGAACACACCCACCTCTTACAAGTGCTCCTGCAAACCTGGCTACCAAGGGCAGGGCAGGCAGTGTGAAGGTAAGTGACTTGGGGACCATTGTAGGTGGGCTAGTAGGGCAACTTCCACCTCCTTACCTCTCATAGTGGACACTCATGTTGGTAAAAGTGCTGCCTCCATCTTGAATCACACCATCTGCTGTCTGAAATATATTGCAGATCCTTAAAGCTTTGACTGTAAACATCAGGTCTTTCCCAGAGCTGATCATAGTTTTAACTGGCTTTGAAATGTCCTTTTGTTGAGCTTGTAGAAATGATAAGAGGTGTTTTATTATCTTTTGGTCCCACTTAGCCATGCTCATGGGAGAGCTGTGCCTCCCAGAGCAGGGCTGATCCTGTCTCCCTGGCACAATATGCACCCCCTTACTGGAGATCGAGTGCTGGAATCTTGCCCTCTCCTGCTGGCTCTGGAGGCTCCGTCCTGTCCATGGCTTTGAGCTGTTTGGCATTGGGACCTGCCAAACTTTAGAGCTACACCTCATCTGAGCTGAAATTTCACCCTTGAAAGATGTGTGTAAAAAAAGAGAAAGATGTGGGTAAAGGAATATTTTAACCGTTAGTGCTCCAGATCTGGGAATGCAAAGTCTGGACTCTGCCCACTGGGGATTAGTTCAGTGTCATGAACTTTAAAGTTTAGAACTTGATGGAGACTGGGCACTCACAGGAGAAGGCTGTTCTTAGGGATGGAAATCATCATACAGTGGAGCTGGCAGCCTCTTTATGGAGCTCTGGTCCAATCTATTACTCAGATGGGGACATCGAGGCTCAGGGGATTTGTGGCAATGATCACACAAGTCTGCTGGTGAAAAAAGGTCATGTCTCTACCCCAGTTCTGTCCCAGCTCCACCTCTCTCATATATTCACTCAGCTTGTTTCTGCCCCCCTTTGGTTGGGTAAGAAATCATACTATTTATTTATTTAGCAGCACTGGAGTTGGAACTCAGGGTCTATCTACCATAGAGCAACATTCCTAGTCATTTTAATTTTTTTTTTATTTTGAGGCAGGGTTTCTAAATTGTCCAAGCTGGCCTTGAACTTGCGATCCTACAGCCTTAGCCTCCTGCCTTCACCTCCTGACTAGCTGGGATTTCAGGCTTGCACTACTGAACCTGGCCAGAAATCCTACTATTTATATTACTTATAGTCTTCCTATACAGGAAGAAGTTTAAAATTGATGAGGTGCATTGAATTCATTCCTGCAACTCCCTCCTGCCTCTGGACCCAATCCCTTCAGTTGGAGAGGTTTTATACTCTTTACAACTTGGGCTTAACCCTGGCAGGAACTGACCTGAATACTTGCAGGATCTAAACCTACATAGTGAGTAGTTAAAGTCTCTGCTAAGCACTTTGAAAAATACCTCATTAGACAGGAGGAAAACTTTTAATACATACCTATTTTAGTGCCTTTTAATGACCTCGTGTTCAAACTCTAATGTTTCAAACCAATCTGTTTCATCTTGTAGCCTCTGAGTAATGAAGGTTCTTGGTGTTGGAACAGTGTGTAATATCCAGTACTGCCTGGTATGTGGTAAACACTCGTTCTTGTTCTTTTGTTTTGTTTTATTTTGGTACTGGATTGGAACCAGGGAGGCTCTACCACTGAGCTACATCCCTAGTTCTTTTTGTTTTTTTAAATTTTGAGACAGAATCTCACAATAAGTTGCACAGGCTAGACTTGAACTTGCAATCCTCCTTCCTCAGCCTCCTAAATAGCTAGGATTACAGGCATGTACCATCGTGCCTGGCACTAGTTTTTAAATAACTGTGCAAGATGAGCTCAATCATTGACACCTTGACACAAGGTATTTTCCAAAAATAAACGAACCTGTGAATGAAATATCTAGGTACAGAATATTTAGATGATTAAAGAGGTGACTGTCAAGTGCATTTGTAGTGTTGTAGCAATGACTTAATCTCTCCCAGCCCCCACCTCCTGGTCTTACCTGAGACATGCTGGGATTTGAAAAATGGAATTATAATGGGAAAATTTGGGTTTTGTGGTAGGTAAAGACACTCCTTGGGAAATCATTTGGGAAACTCTCTTTTGTGCCAGAGGAGCGCAGATCTGAGTCAGGTTCACAGTCAGGGGTTGGTGGTCCCTCTTAAAACCCTTGTGTTTCTGAAGCCAACTTTGTATTTTCCCAGAGGCAGGCAGCCACAGCTATCTCTGACAGCCATCTCTGTCTCTGTCTCTCTCTTGCTCTGCCCTGTGTCTTGGGAGGTCAAAAGAATTCCAGAAACAAACATCTCTATGCCAATTCCTCCATATCACACCCTCTCTGTATTAAATATTCTAATTGCAGTATCAGAATTCACATGTTGCTTCTCTGCTTGGGGGAAAAAATTCACATTTTTACCATGTGTATATAACATATCCTCTAGTCACTGTATATTCTCCAGGGGCATAAAACTGTGTCATTGGTTTCTTTTAGATAAAATATGTCTTTAGTAAATGATGTCTCAAGTGACATCTGGCAAGAGTTTCCTTACTCTGAGCTTTTGTTTGACATATTACAAGTGAAATTGAATTGCTAGCAGAGTACAATAGAAAAGGCTACTATTTAGTTTAAAATAACTAATAATTGGCATTGTTGCTTTTATATATTTCGATTTGCTTTAAAATAATCTATGATTATTGTTATAAAAAATCAAAATGCAAAAATGTTGAGAAAATTAAAGCACTTCTCATCCCTTTACCCACAGGTAATCACTGTTAACAACAAATACATATTCTTTGTACTATCATGTTAAACTAAAATCTGAGGGCTGGGGTTGTGGCTGAGCGGTAGAGCTCACTCACGCGTGCGAGGCCCTGGGTTCGATCCTCAGCACCACATAAAAATAAATAAATAAAACAAAGGTATTGTGTAGAACTGAAAAATAAAATATTTTTAAAAAACCTAAAACCTGAAATGATTTGGTCTTTTGAATACTTGTAGTATTAATTTTGTGAGTCAGGATATCCCTGTTTAGTTTGGATTTCTTGCTCCAAGAGTTCAGAAATGGAAATTTTCTTTTAAGAAGGAAAAAGGAGAGAAATAAAGATTGTAAGGATTCAAAGATGTGGATATTCAAAGATATAACTCCTTTATCTGTGTTGCTTTGTTTACTAATTTTTTAGTCTCTGCATTTGTGCATTTGTAGTGTTGTAGCTATGATCATTTGTGCTGTGATTCTCACCAGCCTCACTGCTCATAATTACTCTCACAAATGGGAACTGGGTTTGCCTGGAGTGACTGGAATTATCTTCCATAAAGTTTTTTCTACAAAATATTAGAGGAATGGAAGTATGGGCCTGAAATAAGTAGTTTTTTAAATAATGTGATTCAGAAGTGGCTTTAGATAACTGATTGAGCCACTGAGCTACATCCCTGGCTCTTTATATTTTTTATTTCGAGTGCAGAACAGTAAAGAATTCATCTATGTCCTTTGCTCATCTTACTCTAATTTTACTAGCTTACAAAACCAGAAAATTAACACGGGCATAATGTTATTCAGTAAATTGTAAATGTTATTCAGATTTCACCAATTTCCCCTTGATATTATTTTTCTGTTCCAGAATTGAATTCAAGGTCCCACATTATATTCAGCCAGTGCTTCTCTTTTGTCTCACCCAATCTGTAACACTTCTTCGGTCTTTCCTGGTGTTTCATGACATTGACATTCTTTTTTTTTTTTTTTTTGATGAATACTGCTGGCTTTGTTTGTCTTATGTTTTCTCAAGATAAGAATTGATATAAGGGGCTGGGGTTGTAGCTCAGTGGTAGAGAGCTTGCCTAGCACATGTGAGGCACTGAGTTAGATCCTCAGCCACCACATAAAAATAAATAAATAAAGTTATAAAGAAAAAAAGAATTGATATAAGAGAATGTCTTGTGTTTTCCAATGATAAGATTGAGATTATTTATTTTTGGCAGGACCACCATAGAAATGCTGTGTGTTCTTTTCAGTGGATCATATCAGGGAGACAGATGTCATCATATTCCATTTCTAGCTTTTTTTTAACCTTGGTCACCTGGTTAAGACAGTGTCTGCTGGGTTTCTCCACTTCAAAGTTACTACTGATTTCCCTTTACAATAGAAACATATTTGGGGAAGATACTTTGAGCCCAGGGTCAATATTGTTTCTTCTTAAATGTTTATCTAAGGATGTTGGGATCCAGCTCTGGATCTTCCCTGCAACAATTATTACTGTGATGTGTGCCTACATTTTTTTTGTACTTTCCTCATTCCTTATACATCTATTAATTGAGATTCTTCTTAAGAAAAAACTGCTTTTTCTTTCCTATTTATTTATGTATGTATTTATACAACACTGTAGACTTATGGGAGTTGATTTTATTATATGTATAATAATTGATTTTTGGCTCAAATCATTCCAGGTTCAGCCAATGGGAGTTCCTTCCCATTGTTTCCTGTGTCATTCTGACATCTGTTTTTTGAGAAATTCCTGATTTTCTGGTGTTTTAAGATGCTTGGGTTAAATCTTATTTTTTCTTATTTTTAACCCTGGAATCATCCACTTCTCTAATGCAATCTGGCCCCTTTAATTGGAAAATGGTACACTGACACTTTGGATTCCATATCAATATCAAAAATTCATTATTCCTCTTTAATAATAATAATAATAATAATAATTATTATTATTATTATTATTATTATTATTATTATTATTTTGGTACCAGGGATTGAACTCAAGGGCACCTAACCACTGAGCCACATGCCCAGCCTATTTTGTATTTTATTTAGAGACAGCGCCTCATTGAGTTGCTTAGTGCCTCGCTTTTGTTGAGGCTGGTTTTGAACTCCCGATCCTCGTGCCTCAGCCTTGAGCTGTGGGGATTACAGGCATGTGCCACTGCATCCAGCTGCTCTTTGTTTATTTATAACTTCTTTCTCCAACAGTGAGAAGTCTGGCTCTCATTATATGCAATGTGTTTACCTCTTTGTTTAATCCTAATATAGACACAAAGTATTTATAGAGTTACTGAGCCATAACCCTATGAGTAAACCAGATTTACTAACTAGAATGTAGCATACAACTATTTTTTATTTTAGCTTTTAGACATCCATTTCTTTTCTATTCCTATTCCTTTCAATGTGGTACTTTTCTTTCCTATTCCTTTCAGTGTGTTTATGTTATTAATTTATAATACATTAGGTTCATTTGTTCCTTTTTGTGTTTCGTTTTTATCACCCTAGCTCTCACCCCATCTCCTGGTTGATTGATATGTGTGTATACATCTATGTATAAAAATCATCATTATGGTTCTAAGAATCAAAGCTATACAAAAATGTGCCTCAGAGAAGTGTGGCTCCCTCCTCATTTCTGTTACCCTGTTGCTCTCTCTCCATCTTTCCACTCCTTTCCTCATTCCTTGTAGGTCACCGGTCTCTGTAGTTTCTGGTTTATGCTTTCTTTATTTCTTTTGGACAAGTAAACAGATAAATTTATGTTTGTTTTTTTTTTTAGCAACTTTACTGATGTATAACTTACCAACCATAACATCATCATTTGCCTTTTTTTTTTTTTTTTTGGTAGTACTGAAGATTGAACTCAGGGGTGCTCTATTTCTAAGTTATACCATCAGCTCTTTTCTTTTTGGGGAGTGGTACCAGGAGTTGAACTCAGGGGTACTTGACCACTGAGCCACATCCCTAACCCTATTTTGTATTTTATTTAGAGACAGGGTCTCACTGAGTTGCTTAGTGCCTTGCCTTTCCTGTAGCTGGCTTTGAACTGGTGATCCTCCTGCCTCAGCCTCCCTAGCCACTGGGATTATAGGCATGCACCACTGTGCCTGACACCATCAGCTCTTTTTATTTTATTTTTAATTTTTTGGTACTGGGGGATTTAACTCAGTGGTACTTTATCACTGAGCTACATTCCCAGATCTTTTTATTTTTAATTTTGAGACAGGGTCTTGCTAAGTTGCTTAGGGCCTTGCTAAGTCATTGAGGGTGACCTTGAACTTGGGATCTTCCTGCTTCAACCTTCCAAGTTGCTGAGATCACTGGTATGTACCACCTATACCTGGCTTTTTAATTTAATTTATTTATTTATTCTTTTGGTACTGGGTATTGAACTCAGGGGCACTCAACCACTGAACCACATCCCCAGCACTGTTTTGTATTTTATTTAGAGACAGGGTCTCACTGAGTTGCTTAATGTCTCTCTTTTGCTGAAGCCTCAGCAAAAAAGGCTGACTTTGAACTCTTGATCCTCCTGCCTCAGCCTCCTGAGCTGCTGGGATTACAGGTGTGTGCCACCGCACTCAGCTATTTATTTTGTTTTTGAGACAGGTTCTCCCTAAGTTGCTGAGACTGGCCTTAAACTTGCAATCCTCTTGCCTCACCCCTCCAAATTGCTGGGATTATAGGTTAGTGCTACCATGCTTAGCTGATAGGAGAATTTTGAAGAGATTTTTATACATCTATGTTCATAGCATCATTTACAATAGCCAAAAGGTATAAACAATCAAAATGTTCACTTGACATTTGATGAATGGATAAGCAAAATGTGCTACATACATACAATAGAACTATTGTTCATCCTTACAAAAGAAGGAAATATAAACTGGGCACAGTGGTGCACGGCTGCAATCCCAGCAACCTCACAATGTGCCTATAATCCCTTGTCCTTACAAGTTCAAGGCCAGCCTCACCAATTTAGTGAGCCTCTGAGCAATTTAGTGAGATTCTTTCTCAAAATAAAAAAACTGAGGATGTAGCCCTGTGGTAGAGCAGGCCCTAGGTTCAGTTATTGGTATCAAAAAAATAAAATCTTGTCACATACTTCATTGGGGTAAACTTTGAGAACATTATACTAACTGAAATAAGTCAGTTATCAAGAGACAAATAGTTTGAATCTATGTATCTGAGATACTTAGAATAGTCCAAATCAAAGAGATTGAAAGTAGATGGTGATTGCCAGAGGCTGGGTTGGAGATTAGGAGTTAATTGTTTAATGGGTAAAAAATTTTAATTTTACAAGATGAAAAGATGTAATGGAGATGAATGGAGGTGATGATTGCACAACATTATGAATGATTTAATAATATTGAACCATACACTTAAAAAAAGGAAAAGAAACTACTAAACTGTTTTCCAAAGTGCCATTTTATGTTCTCATCAGCAATGTATGGCAAAGGATCCCCATTTTTCCACATCTTTGTCAACATTTGTTATTGTCTGTCATTGTTATTATTCAAGTGAGTATGAAATGGTAGTCTTAATTGGCATTTCTCTAGTCATTAATAGTGTTGAACATTTTTTCATGTGCTTATTAGCCATTGGCATACCATTTTTTATCAAATGTCTTTATCTTTCTTTTTTCTATTTTTACCATTTCTTTCTTTTTTTTTTTTTTTTTGGTCAGTGGTTCTGAGAATAAAACCTAGTGCTTCTCACATGCTAGGCAAGCACTCTACCATTGAGCTACAACCCCAGCCCCTGAAATGTGTTTTTAAATCTCTTGCCCTTTAAAATTCAGTTGTCTCATTATTTTTAAGTCCTTTATAAAGCATATGACTTGCAATTACTTTCTCTGACTCTGTGGTTTATCTTCATATTCACCCTTGCCCACTCACCCTACTTACAGGGGATTGAACCCAGGGGCACTTTACCACTGAGCTAGAAACCCAACTTTTAATATTTATTTATTTATATTTTTTTAAAAATATTTATTTTATAGTTGGACACAATACCTTTATTTCACTCATTTATTTTTTACGTGGTGCTAAGGATCGAACCCAGGATCCAGCGCGTGCGAGAGGAGTGCTCTACCTCTGAGCCACAACCCTAGCCCTATTTATTTTTTATTTTGAGATAGGGTCACTAAGTTGCCCAGGCTGGCCTTGAACTTGAAATTTTCTTGCCTCAGGTTCAGCTTGCATTACAGGTGGGTACCATCAGGCCAGGATTGTCTTTGTTTTTAAGACATGGTCTTGCTGAGTTGCTTAGGGCCTTGCTAAATTGCTGAGGCTGGCTTTGAACTTGTGATCCTCCTGCCTCAGCCTCCCAAGATGCTGAGATTATAGGCATATGCCACATCTTTATTTTCTTAATGTCTTTTTTTATTTTTAACAAAAAGAACACATTTTATTTTATTTTTTTTTAATTTTTTATTGTTGGTTATTCAAAACATTACATAGTTCTTGACATATCATATTTCACACTTTGATTCAAGTGGGTTATGAACTCCCATTTTTACCCCATATACAGATTGCAGAATCACATCAGTTACACATCCATTGATTTACATATTGCCATACTAGTGTCTGTTGTGTTCTGCTGCCTTTCCTATCCTCTACTATCCCCCCTCCCCTCCCCTCCCCTCTTCTCTCTCTAACCCCTCTACTGTCATTCATTTCTCCCCCTTGTATTATTTTTCCCTTTCCCCTCACTTCCTCTTGTATGTACTTTTGTATAACCCTGAGGGTCTCCTTCTTAAAGTCTTTTGAAGTATAAAAGTTGTAAATTTTGATGAAGTCCATTAAATTTGTGCATTATGAGTTTGATGTTATATGAAAGAAATCTTTATGAGGGTAAATTCTCAAAAACTTTTCTCGTAAAAACTTTATAGTTCTTACATTTAGGTCTACGATCTATTTTAAGTTGCTTTTTGTGTATAGTAGGAGGTAATGGTTAAAATAATTTTTGCATGTGTATTTTCCATTATTCATCACCATTTAATGAAAGGACTATGATTTCTCCCAATGAATGCCTTAACACTTTTGTCTAAAATCAAGTGACCATAAATCAAAGGTTTATTTCTGAATTCTCAGTTCTGTTCCATTGATCCATATGTCTCTTTATGCCTATACACACTGTCTTGGTTAAGTATAGCTTTGTAGTAAGTTAAATTTCCCCAAATGTGTTCTCTTCTTTCAAAACTGTTTTGACTCTTCTGAAACTTTTGCATTTTCAAAAAAATTTTAGGACAAGTTTGTCAAGTTCTACAAAAGCGTGCTAAAATTGTGTGTGTATGTGTGGTTTTTTTATTGTCTTATTTCTTACGTGAAAACATACTACATATACTTTTTTGCATTTTGATTTTTTTCCACTAAATAGTGTATTCTAAAAATTACTTCAAGTCAGTTCATAGAAAACATCTTTACTTTTTTATAGCTGTATAATACTACCATCAAGTAGATTTACCATATTCAATAAACCTGTCTCCTGTATATGGACTTTTAGGTTGTTTTCAGTATTTCGTAATTTCAAACAATGCTTCCATGAATAATTTGGTGTATTTTTTATTTTTCTGCTGTTGGGTGAATTCTGAAATGTGGGATGGCTAGCTACAAGTCATAGGTCAAAGACATAGCACCTGTTTGATTTACTTCTGTTTTATTCCTTAGACATTGATGAATGTGAAGATGAACTCAATGGAGGCTGTGTCCATGACTGTTTGAATATTCCAGGCAATTATCGCTGCACTTGTTTTGATGGCTTCATGTTGGCTCATGATGGTCATAATTGTCTTGGTAAGGAGAACCTTTAGAAACGGCAGTTCTCATCTCCCCACCCCTTTCTTTCCTTTGGTGAAAACCTAGTTATTAAGACAAAAATGGGATCAGAGACTTGTGTTTTCCTGTCCCATGGAAATGAGACTCCCCGCCAGGCATTATGTGGAACACATAGCTAACCCCAGCTAGCTACTAAGGAGGCTGGTCAGGAGGTCTGTGAGTTAGAGACAGCCTGAGCAATTTAGTGAGACCCTGTCTCAAAATAAAAAATAAAAAGGTCTGGGAATGGTGTTCAGTGTTTTACAGCTTCCCTGGGTTCAATCCCCAGTACTGTCCCCTGCACTCTGCCCCCACTAAAAAAAAATTCAGACTCCCTAAGAGAAAATCAGGTACATGATTTATCTATAACATAGACCCACCAGTCCAAGGAGATGGGTGGACATTGTCATTATTATTTACTGATTATCTATCATTGATTTGTCACCTTTAAGGTCTTTGATTTTGTGTTGAAAAGATCCTGACTTATAGCCATTTCTTTAATGTTTTAAGTGTCGTTATTCTGAAATTAGCCCTGAAGACTTTAATGTTGGCTTGGGTCACAGCCAGATAGACCCCCTTCTTTTTTTTTTTTTTTTGAAAGAGAAAGAAAAATCAAACAGAAACTTTCCAGGAACATCCTCTTAGTAGTCCACAAAACAGAAACATCTGTTGGAGTTTCAGTCCTTGAATTAGAGACTGCAGAGTGTTGTTTACATCAATTCCTTATACCAGAAATAAAATGGAACTTAGAAATAGTGAGCAGTTGGATGGGGCTGAGTGCTGGAAAGTCTTTGAGGACTCAGCACACCTGACAGGTAGGTGTTTGTGCTTTGCTTTTTGCGGGGTGGGGAGTACCAGGGATTGACTCAGGGGCACTCAAACACTGAGTCATATCCCCAGCCCTATTTTGTATTTTATTTAGAGATAGGGTCTCCCTGAGTTGCTTAGTGTCTCACTTTTGCTGCTTTGAACTCGAGATACTCCTACCTCAGGCTCCAGAGCCTTTGGGATTACAGGCATGCACCACCATACCCAGCTGTGGTTTGCTTTTTTTTAATTTATTTTTTTTTAGTTGTAGTTGGACACAATACCTTTATTTTATATATTTATTTATTTATTTTTGTGTGGTGCTGAGGATCAAACCCTATCACTGAGCCACAACCCAACTCTGTGGTTTGCTTTTTAAGGCTGGCATTACCAATTGTACAGGAGGTCATTATGGGAGACAAATGGCATCAGGGTCCTTTGACACTGATGACCCTTCATGTGTTTGACCTGCTTATTTCTATAAAGCCAACCAAGAAGTAACTTGAGCCAGGCTCTGACTCTGGGAACAGCTATTTAGATGTCCCTTAGTGGTTTGTAGGGAATGGTCACTTGATCAAATGCTTTGAGATCAGCATTAAAGGGCCTAGGAAAGCTGGGTATAGTGGCCCATGCCTGTAATCCCAGCACCTTGGGAAGCTGAAGCGGGAGGATCATGAGTTCAAAGCCAGCCTCGGCAATATAGTGAGACCCTAAGCAACTCAGAGAGACCCTATCTCTAAATAAAATATAAAAAAGGGATGAGGATATAGCTCAGTGGTTAAGTGCCTCTGGTTCATTCTTCAGTATCAAAAAAAAAAAAAAAAGAAAGAAAGAAAGAGAAAAAAAGGCCTTAGGCAGAAGTTGTGTTTTGAGTGGTGGAGTTCTGGAGTCGGGTGGAGAGTATTTCCATTTGGGATGCAACCCAGATGTGACCTTTATCCCATTTCAGTATCTTCTGTAGCTCCATTCTCACTTAGATTCTGTCCTTTGCTATCTGTGCCCTATGAGAGAGGCCAGGCTTTGGGTGCACAGTCTTGCAAGCCTGAAGTGTCAGTAAGATTTGATTGAAGACCAGGGAAGCAACCACCTCTCTGCAAACTTTCTAGGCAGTCAGTGTCAAAAAAGACACATTAAAGAGACAGTCCTGAGACAGGAATGAATTGCAATGAATTAAAAACTCTGAAAAGGGAAGTTCTTTTTCTGTTGGGAGGCTTACAGTATGGGTTTTTTGTTTGCTTTGTTTTCCATTTTCAGCGGGGAGATTTCCCTTTGATTGCCAACAGTGGCATTCTGAGGATTCATATCTGATGGCAGACCCAGTCATTACGGTTATGCTCTGATCCACAGCCTTCGGGAAAATGTGAGCTTCCTAAGAACAAAAAGCTGACCCATCCAAGGCTTCAGGACCTGGGCCAGGGCAGGTGGGATGGTTCTAAGTACAGGCCTGCTCAGAAATCCTGAGGCCTGGATTCTTGCTTTGCCTTGGCCAGTAACATAGTAGGGTATTTCATCAGGGTATCTCCATTTCTCCTTCTCTCTTTTGTGAATGTGGTGACAAACATCTGCCTTACAGAGAGACCCTGAACATCCACTGAGCATGTCTGCAGGAGCTAACAATTCTTTAAAAGGAAGGCATGAGAAGATGAAGTCCATTTGGAAGAGTGGGACCAGTATACATAGTGACTGCCATTCAGACCAGAAAGGGTCAGTGCAGTTTGTGGCAGGAAAAGAAGGTCAGGACCCAAACTCTTCAGGAATGGCAGGTTCCTGTGATGACCCCTTCCTTCTCATCAGCCCCCTAGCCATACATTAGCCACAAATATATTAGCCAGAGTATAGAGTACTGGCACCAAACCCAGGGTGCTCTGAGATCCTGAATGCCCATAAGCCTGAGAAATGAATGCAGCCCACCCTGCCTGAGTTCTGAGTTGATAGAGCGTCTGGGAGCTCATCGTAGCCGTTTGGCTTCATAGCAGCAGTTCTCAGTCCTGGCCTCACTTTAAAACATCACCTTTAACCATTGCTATTGCCTTGGCCTCACCCAAACCCAGTTCTGTGTGTGTCTCTGGAGGAGGAGTACAGCAATCTGGGTGCTAACATGCGGGCAAGGCTTAGAACCCCTGTTCCATATTCTGGAGAAGCTCACAGGCCTGATGATATTTATTTGTGTATGTGAAAACACATCGTTGTGTTTATCTAATCATGGTGTGACACTCAATGACACAGTTCTGATTGCTTTGGAGAAAAGACAGTGGGTTAAATGTGAGGTGGGCACATTTAATCCTGGATGTGGTGCTGAGGGAAACAGCTCTCCTGCTCACCTTGAGTCCTCCATGTGGAACACCAAGGCCAGGTGTGTCTCAGCTCGGCTCATCCTCTGGAATGTACTTCCTTCACCCTTTGGCATAGACAAGGGTGAGTTTGTTAGGCTTTAGGGGATGGCTCAAGTCCCATCAGTTTAGTCAGGCATCTGCTTCGTAGTGTGGGAGGACAGATGCCTGTAAGATCTGAGGCTTGAAACCAGATAACAGACATTTAAATGTGAATTTTCTGGTTACAGATATGCCCAGGAGCTAGTGATAGGCATATGAGGAATTAGACTGAAGAAAATAAACTGTTTTTTTCCCCCCCTGTATTGGAGATTGAACCCAGGGGTACTTTACCATTGAGCTCTTTCTGCAGCTCTTTTCATTTTTATTTTGACACAGGATTCTGCCTCCCTAGTAGCTAGGATTAAATTGCTTTCTAATCAGCTTTCTCCTCGAGTCTTTGTGGCATCTGAGATTCTTCTTGAAGTTTTTTCTTCTTTGGTTCTGATGCTCCTGTTTTGGACAGTTAACGACTACCTGCTGGGTTCCAGGGCTGAGTTAATTAAAACAAAAATCTTGTCCTCAAGGAGTTTGCAGTCTAGTGGCGATGGATAGGTAAAAGGTCTTGAAGATGCACCTGGGTAAATGTTTCGGTGAGGGGTGCACAGGGTGCTGTGGTCACAGTGGGAAAAAAGGCCTCTAAGCCTATCCAGGGTATGAATGCAGGAGCAGATTGGGGAGGCCTCCTTTCTCCCTGCATTCCTGGCCTTTCCTCTGAGGCTACTTGTCCCTCCTCTACCTGCTTCTTGCCCTTGATGCAGTCCAGAATTCGACTGCTGCTGTTTCCTTTCTGCCTGTTTCTCTGCTTTCATATTCCTGCCCTTGGCTTTCTCGTGTACAGCCACTACTTTGTCTGGCAACTGCAAGTAAGTGGTTTCCAAGGCTGTACATACGGCCCTGGATTCTCTTTCCATTTACCCTCCAGGTTTCCCCCATCTGCTGGATCTAGACCTGATGTCCCATGTCAGGCACATCCTCTCCCTGTCTAGGGATGAAGGGGGCAACTATGTCACCATTCCCATTTCAGTCTCCAGCACTGGTCTTGCCTATGTTTGTGTTCTAGAAGGCCCCAGCATCAACTTCCCATCCTCTAACAATGCCCCACTCACAGCCTGCAAGTCTTCCAGCCCTGTGGGCACCTTATCCACCCACAATCTTCTACACCTACCTTGCTAGCAAACCAAGGTCAGGCCCAGTTTGCTGTCTGTCCCAATTAGGGCAGCACTGGCCATGGCTGCCCGGTGTGTGTGTGCAGGTGGATTCCCAGCTATCAGTTCTTTCCCTTCTCTGCATCTGACCCTCAATTGCTGCCTTATTTTTCCCAAAGTGCCCACCCCCGCCAGTGGTTCCAAACTGCCTTCCTTTGCCTGGTATTCAAAATCCTGCAGTGTGACCTCAATCTATCTTCCCAGCTGTATCTCCTGTGACTTCCTTCCACATTCCCTGTGCTCCAGCCAAATCAAATGACTCACTGTATCTGAGTTATTCCATGCTTCCCAGCCTCTGGGCCAGGACTTACATTCGTTCTTCTGCCTGCAGTCTCTTTTCCTCCTAATTTATAATGCAAGGAATTCTAAGGCCCTCTTTTTATCAGTTTCTCCTTAAAAACTGTGCTGATCCCACACGATCAGATGTGACCTGTCTTTCCTCTGTACCACCTTTTGCCTTATCTCAGATGTCTATTTGTCTTTCTTCCTCTCCTGAAGGACATGCTCCTAGAGGAAGAAATTTTATCTTACTCATCTAGCACCATGCTTTGGAAAGTGAAGGTGTTCAGTAAATGAACTGATTATCTAAGCAGAGATGAATAAATGAACTGATTTATTCATCAGCCAGGGTCCTGGCTAAGTGAGTCCCAGACACATGAGGCTGGGTAATCATCTGTAGTCCTGTTGTTTTGATTCTGAGAGCTTCTGTGATGCAGGGACAAGGAAAAAAGCCCTCATCTCTGCTTAGCAGGAGTCCTTGAGCTGCTGGGTTGGGTGGGGTATTTGAAACAGCCACAAAAGCAAAGGCAAATCCCTCCCTCCCTCCAGATGTGGACGAGTGCCTGGAGAACAATGGCGGCTGCCAGCACACCTGTGTCAACGTCATGGGGAGCTACGAGTGCCGCTGCAAAGAGGGCTTTTTCCTGAGTGACAATCAGCACACGTGCATTCACCGTTTAGAAGGTACCTCTGCCCTGTTGGGGGTTGGAGAATGGTCACAGGGGAGGGTCCTTGCCCCCATGCGCACACAGTACTTCTGAGGGTAAACGCAGCATATTGAAAGTCTGGAGGCCTGGAATCAAGTCCAGACTGCAGCTGGGGAGCCATGGATAGTTATTTCCCCTTTGCCTTCCTTACCCAGAAAACTCAGTATGGACACTGGGGAAGCTCCAAGGTCTTCACAAACCCTCATCTCCTCTAGTTCTAATCTTTAAATAGAGTGTATTTCAAACAGAACTAGATGTCTCTGGAGGAATAAGATGGATGATCTACCAAGTTTTTCACAAGTGTGCTGAAAACCACAGTACCAGTGCCAGCCTGCCCCTTGTTCTGGGTGGATTCAGAGGGGACTGTACCTTTCTATGGAGACTGGCCATGAATTGCCCTGCTTCAGTCCTAAACTAGTTTAGGTCATTCCCTGTGTTTTGCTTTTTTTTTTTTTCTTTGACTGGGATCAAACCCAGGGCCTCATATATGCTTGGCAAGCACTCTGCCACTGAGCTATATTTCCAGTTCTTTTTAAATTTTACTTCACTAAGTTGTCCAGGCTGGCCTTGAACTTGAATCTTCCTGCCTCAGCCTCCCCAGTAGCTGGGATTATAGGCATGGGACATGCCCAGCATGTTTTGCATTTCTTTCTTTCTTTGTTTAATGGTTTGCATTTCTAACTCCAAGCCTCTAGGATTTTGAGAGGCAGGAGAATCCCTTTCTACATTGGGGCTCTCTATGCTGCAGTTTCTTTATCCGGGTCTCTATTTATTATTCCTCCATAAATGTACAGGAAACCCATCTCTTCTGATGGCCTCACTTTCATTCATTCTCTTTGATTTGAGTTTATACCTTTTTTAAAAAAAATTTATTTATTTATTTATTTATATTCCTGATGGTGGAGTGTTGGGAGAGAGAAGCATTAAGGACATGTAGCCAATCAGTTATTTTTAACTAACTGTCATCCTTTTAATTCTTCACTGCTCTTTTAAAAGAACAACATTGTGGTGGCTGCATTTCTCTTGCAGTTACATCTGCCTGTTTTTTAAGGGAAGTGCCCTAAATATTAAACTATTAATTTCTTTTGGCATATTCTGCAAATTTACTCTCATAACTTAAGAGTGAGGTCATTTTAAGTTCTGTTTAATCACACATTTGAAGATTTATTGTTTATCATAGTTTCGGTAACTTTTCAAGGGTTTCTTTGTGAAAGATGATTTTGACTCATTTTTCAAAGATGCAAACTCATACTTTATGCCTAATGAGAATACTAAGAAGAGTCCTCAGAGAAATCACCAGGGGCCAGTGACTTTGGTGATTGTGATCACTCCAATCTGCCTATTCTAGTGTTTGTGGTGGGGGAGTCACACATGCTGACTCTAATTGTAACACGGAGTGTGGCTTTCAGGTGGGTTCTTGGTCTCGTGAATTTGAAGAATGAAATCCACGGACACAAAGATGAGAGCAAGGTGACAGGATTTATTACAGTAACAGAAAGAAATCAGAGCTTCCAAGGAGGGAGGGGTCCCAAGAGAGGGATGCCAGTTGTCCAGGGGTTTGTATGGATCTACAGGTTTAAGGAAGTCAGCCTCCTGCCCAATCCTGGGTAAGGCATTCAGTGTTTATGAGGCATTCATGAAGCCTTTAGTCCAATCAAAATATTGATCAGGCATTTTTCCTTCTTTGGAGAGGTTACAAACTCCAAGTCACATATGTCCTGATTTAAAAATAACCTTTTTGCAAGTTTCTCAGCAAAAACCTGCAGCTGCTATTTGTGCTTTGCTGCCCAGGAAGTCACCCAGGGGCCCATTTCCCTATCTAGCTAGACTTTTCTCTTCCTCCTGACTTTATAACCATGCAAATTACTTATCCTATGGTAGGTGTGGCCCTTGATAGAGTAGTAGTTGGGTTTTATTTTCCTGCCAGGTTCTCTGGTGTGCCCTGAAGTCTTGTCCAAAGTAGGTAGAACTGGAGGTGGGGGTGAATTAAGTTGCCAGGGACAGAGAGTGATCCGAACCTCAGAGCATCACCCTCATTGGTAGTTCAAAGCTGTTTCATGAAGTCATGCTGGCTCTTCTGGTGGTTGGGACAGGAGGAAGGGACCTGTGGTGAACCCATTCCTGGAAACCCCGCTGTAAGTCCCACCACTCAGGGCAGTTTGTAGGGATTCAGATGGTCTCTTAACGTGTACTTCCTGGACCCTGGCTCAACCTTTCTCTCCTTGCAAGCCCCTAGATTGAGTAGAGACAGAGGATCCTCATAACAAAAGTAAATACAAATGCAGTTCCTTCCTGCAAGCTGTTTTCTAAATTTCCTCCAATTCAGACATTCTTAGATCCCCCGAAGAGTATTTAAAATGATCATATTTGTCTGGAACTAAAACCAAAATCCAAGAATTTGGGTTGTGGTCTGGAAGTGCTCTCTGTGATTTTCTGTTGAGTTTCAACCTGATAGCTTGGTAAATACACACCAGTGGGAGCCAGCTGATCACAGCAATTTGTGACCCCATCCAGCCTAGGGTCTTAGTTCTTTAAACTGAATAACCTCTAAACAATATTCCTGTAGGACCTCCTCCCTGGGCTCTTAGAAATTGTATTAAAACAGACTTAAAAACCCACAGTTGGTATTTTAAAGGCTGTCAAAGGAGGTAACACCAGCAGGTTAGTATTTTCCAGTGCTGCTATTGTTTTTAATAATTGTTTACTAAGTACTCTTCAGTATAGGGGATCAAAACAGCTGATTCTGAGGGAAAGCTCAAGCTATTTATCTTTTTTTTTTTTTTAATCCTTAGAGACCCTAAGCTCTGATAAAGAGACTGTGTGTTTTCACCCATGTAATGGGGGTAGGCTGGAGAGACACACATCACCCCTGCCTGCCATTGTTCCTATTCATGGGCGCTCAGGCTCTCAAAATGAGCATTCCTCTTTGGTTTTGTCTGCTCTGAGAACATTTAGATGGTGCAGGTAATGGGGAGCATTGGGGTGAGGAAGGCGCTGCTTTCTCAGTCCTGTATTATGTGATATTTTTTGCCTCATTCTCAAGACGTGCTCTTATTTTATTATTTATTCCTAGAAATATCCTTCATTGCCTGGGGAGCATCAAAACAGGGAATTTCTGGTGTTTCTTAACTGTCTCCCTTCTGGTGAATGAAGGGTCTCAGATATTCCTGAAGAGCTGGGACCCTCTTTGGGCCTCCTGATTTGTACCAGACCCATCTGCCTCCCCCAGCAGTGATTTTGTTTTGAGTCAGGGTACTATGAAAGGCTTGGGGGGGTTGCCTCTTGAAAAATGGTCTAAGCCTCCATTTCTTCTTGGTAACTGCCAATCTAGCTTGATATGATAGAATATCAGGGGGCAGCTTCTCTATGTACTGGATAGTGTCTGGCACCTAGGCATTCTTATGAAATATTTTTTCTAAATGAACTGCTCAAAGACAGTAAAGATCACTTTGCAAACATCTTGACAGACCTGTAAACAAAGTGAAAAAGGCAGCGAAGATGAAGGAAATATTCTCTTCCAAGTGTTCTGCCACCTTTTCTTGGGCACTGTTACATTTACCCTCCAGTGTTCCTGGTGTGGTTATTTCAAGTGCTTCACTGACCCAAATACAAACTGCTTACTGGTCCTTCTCAGGAGGACAGGACACTGCTTCTTTTGGGAGACAGCTTTCACCTCCAGAACCATCTTGATACTGGGGAGTGAATGACATCTTCAGAAATTACCAGCCAGAGCAGAGAGAACTATGCACCTATCCAGAAAATCTGTGTTACTTGTTAGCAGTCCTTGCTTGGCAGGGGCAAATGAACCCCAGCAACATGCACAGATTGGGTACCAGGGTGCAGACCATTCAGAAATGTCAGATAAAAAGCAAGGTTGTTCTAGGAGAGACACAAGAGAGTAGGGGATGTCTTAAAGCTGTGCTGTCTTTTGGAATAGGAATGGTACCTGTTTATGTTGAAAAAGCTATTCTTATGACACATTGGTGGATGGAGGAGACTTGTGATTTCATTAGAGCCTATTGGCTAAGGTTTTAGAGACACAATAAGAAACAGTGTTAGATCCTAGAGATGTTGAATGAAACCTGTTGTACTTGTGTTTAAACAGTGCTACTTCTTGTATTAGGAAGTGTCTTGTTAATAGAGAGCCAATGAGAACCAAGTCCCTACTTAGAGATATTTTAGAGTTGTACTGCATAGAGGCCAAGAAACAGCATATGAACAGGTCTTTAATGCAGTACTCAAAGTTCCTTCAAAGTGATGGCAAATAACAAGATCTCAATAAATTGGTTTCAAGGTGAGGCAGGATCTGGTAACCCACATAGGTGTTTACTGTACTGTTTCTATGCAATCTAAATGATGCACAATAAGCCATCCAGGAACATAGTCACCTGTCCCCATTCCTACCATAATTAGTACAAGATTGGCTCTAATAGAAATTTGTAGTATACCTAAAAAATTGTACAGTAGCTAAAGGAAACCACATGTATGAGACTCTCTCTCTCTCCTTCTGTGTTCTCTTGTCATAGTGCCATTGTATGATGCTGTCTGTCAGAGGCATATGATATGAAGCTGCGGAGGGCAGGGCCTAGGAACCAGCATAAAAGAGGTCCCTGGCAGGTGTCCATGTGGTGATGCCAAAACGTAGTTGTCACCCTCACCTCTACACCTGTGGATGTGGTAGACGTGGAGAGGAGGGTTGACATTTTTTGAAAAAGATCTTCAAGAATATGTGAAAAAGTTGAGACTTTTACCATCTCACCACCCCATCTGCAAATTTGCTTAGAGAGATTCTCCTTTTCTCTTTCTGTTCTTGACCAATGAATGAATAAAGTTATGGCAGAGATAAAAGTTTGGGTCCTAGTTCCTGGGGTAAGCAGGCTCAGATACCACACCCAGAAGAGTATTCCAGGTTATTGAGGAGGGCTCCCACCTCTAGGAGAGTTGAAACATCATGTCTCTTGGGTGATTAAAAAAAAAAAAACATTGTGTTTCTGTTAATTTACCTAGCTTATTTTGAAATATTCTTTTAAAATGTGGAGCAGATAGAGACCCAGGAGGGCAGGTTTATGGCCTAGCTTCCTACCTCCCATTCCACCAGTCTCTTGGAGCTCCTCTGCAGAATCCTCAGGATCCTGACCACTACTGGATCACCTGATGCATGCTACTGTTTTGCAGAGGGCCTGAGCTGCATGAATAAGGATCATGGCTGTAGTCACATCTGCAAGGAGGCACCGAAGGGCAGTGTTGCCTGCGAGTGTAGGCCTGGTTTTGAGCTGGCCAAGAACCAGAGAGACTGCATTTGTAAGTATGGTCTGGAACTCAGCTGTATGAGGGACATCATACCCCAGAGGCTACCTTCCATAGCTCAGCATGAATATCTCCTGGCACGGGGAAGGCAGTTGGCACAAGTGCTGTCCTCTATCCAGTGCTTGGTTCACTGCATGAGGGTAGTCTCTGTAGGAAAGGGGAATGCTATTTAATTAATTAACTAACTAACTAATTAATTAGTACTGGGGATTTAACCTAGGAGCACTTAATACTGAGCTACATCCCCAGCCCTTTTTATTTTTTTATTTTGAGACAGGTCTTGCTAAGTGGCTCTGGGCCTTGTTAAGTTGCTGAGGCTTGCCTTGAACTTGCAGTCCTCCTGCTTCAGCATCCCAGGTCACTGGGGAATGCTATTTTAAAAAGAACTACTTAGAAGGAAATGAAATTAGGGAGTAAAGAGTGTGAATGTTGGGCTGGGGTTATAGCTCAGTGGTAGAGTGCTTACCTAGCACATGTTAGGTACTGAGTTCAATCCTTAGCACCATATAAAAATAAATAAATAAAATAAAGATATTGTGTCCATCTACAACTGAAAAAAAAGAAAAGAAAGAAAGAGTGTGAATTTAGGGGGTCAGCTCTTCTTCTTCCCACAGTATAAAATAAAATTTTCTTATCTGGCAGTTATAGCTCCTGGCTACCTGATCCCTGCTTTCTTTATAAGTCTCATCTGCCTCCTTTTCCCAAACTCTAAACTCATTGCCTTTTGGGGGGTGCCTCATCTTCTTTGATGCCTGTCAACCTTTTCAAGCCCTCCTCCAGTCCTAGTGTGTTGAACTTTGGTTCAATCTTCAACATCCCACCTAACTTCTAATAATGACAAAGAACACACCTACAGTTTTTGGAGCATTTATTATGTGTAAAGTCTTTTCTCAAGGTATTCCACATCAACAACAACAACAACAATTATTATTATTATTATTTTGGCAGTATTGGGGATATAACCCTGGCTTTCTCTATCACTGAACTATATCCCCAGCCCTTTTTATTTTTTATTTTGAGACAGGATCTTGCTAGGTTACCAGGCTGCCCTCAAACTTGTAATTCTCCTGCCTCAGTCTCCTGGGAGCTGGGATTACGGGTGTGTGCCTCCCCATTAATTTTTATAAGCATCACTCTATGACCTAAGTATTATTACTCCCAATTTTAGTTGAGAAAACTGTAGCGAAGATAAAGCAACAAGATCCCCTTGTGAGTAAGTGGGAAGTTAGTTTCAAACTTAGGTCCTCCTGACTCTAAGGCTGTGCTCTTAATCTCCATACTTCAGTGTCTCAGAAGCCTTCCTAGTGGCAGCTGTTTTGTATTTTGGTTCCCATAGCACTTTGTTTCTTTCTCATAGTGTGTGACATTTTGGTTTGAATTGTGTTTTCAAATATCTGTCTCCCCAGTTATAAGCCATTCCAATCCAGGACTTTATCTCCCTTTTTGCTTTTTAGTCTTCTCTGGTATCTACTGCAGGATGTATTCAATATGCACTGGTTTAACGAATAAGTAAATGGTGGTGTATAAAGTGGTGTATAACGAATAAGTAAATGGTGGACACAGCTGCTGCACAATGGTTGTGGTAGCAAAACCCCAATGGGAAACGAATGGCAATTAATGGTGTTCCTAACCACTATTTATGCAGAGAGAATACTGCTACGGATAGTCATTTGCAGTGAGGAGACCTTAGTGGTTAAGAAATGAGGAGATGGGTTTACCTCAAAGCTTGCCAAACCATGGCTGGTGCCACCATCACCCTCAAATAACAGGCTTTGACAGGCTCTTACAGCCTCCTAAAGTGAGGCTGTCTTTGAGGGCTTTCAGGGGCAGAGCAGAAACCACTTCTGCCTCCAAAGCTTCAAAGGAGGGCCCAGACCCCCCAAGACGCACCCATGGAATGAGACTCTCAGCATTTCAGTTTTCCAGGAGCCAGTAGCTAGAGGTAGAGTACCTATTAACTTGTTTTTAAAAATTTTAAATGCTTTTAAGTTGTCACTGTTTAAAGATTCAATATTCTTTAACATTCAAATAATCAAACAAAAACATTTGGAGAATTAAAAAAAAAAAAAAAAGCAAGGTCCAGAATCCTACTATATAACTAGTTATTTTGATTTTTTCATATTCCTGTTTGGTTGTCATTCATGTGCATAAAGAATTTTCACATAGCTATAATCACAGAACAGCTGCTTTCTCACATCTCAAATGTGTAATTAGTTCTCTTAAATTAGAAAAATTGCAAAGGCCGATGTAAAAATTCAGACACTCTAAAGTAATTTCCTTCTCCCATTTCCTTTGCCAGAGGTGACTCTGTTAATAGTTTGATGAGCAGATAGCCTGGTAGTTGACATTTTTAATTTATTTTTTGGCCTGTCATCAATGCGTTCATACACAGTCTTCATAATTATTGGTTAATGATGCATTAACTATGTGCAAAGAATCATCATCTCCTCTGAGTATCTTCCATTTTAACAAATCCAGATGGAGTCTGAGAGTAATCCTAACATATATGTACAAATTAAATATTGTCAGTTTACTCCAGATATGAAGTGCTATGGCATTTCGCAAAGCCTCATACAGGCAAAATTCATTAGTTAGAGCAGAGCAATAGCCTAGAATCTCTTAGTATAATTCCTCCCAACTCTGCCATCTTCACCCTCCCACATGACTTTGTTCAAACTTATGTTTCAGCATTTATTTCTATGATTTGTTCTATGACTATCTGCTTAGGCAGCCATGGACAAGGCCTGAATGGGAATTCTCTCTTTTATGCACAGAGCCTGGCATGCACTAGGCCCTCAAATACTTGCAGAGTAAAAATCAGAGTTCCTCCAAAGCAAACAACCCTGGTTGTGGAAACCTCAGTGCTTTATATATTGATGCATTTTGCTCTCAGTGACCTGTAACCATGGAAATGGTGGGTGTCAGCACTCCTGCGAAGACACGGCTGAAGGGCCCGAGTGTAGCTGCCATCCACAGTACAAGTTGCACACAGATGGGAGGAGCTGCCTTGGTGAGTGGTAGTCCCCACACTGGGTGAGAGTCTGCCCCAGCCTACCCACTGCTAACCTTCACCTTACCCTCATTGGAGTTTAGTGCTAGATGCAGGGTATTTCTGGTGCATCTGGCCCCAAACAGGCACTGCTGCTTCAATGGTGCAGTGGGAATGGCCTAGTTCTGGGCTGGAGGTCCCCCTCTCTCCCTGTGAGACCTTGGAAAGCCCTTCCTCCTTCACCTGGAAAACACATCCCAAAGGGCCAGGACAACACAAAGTTAGAGCTAGCTGTTTGTGATAATGCAGCAAGCTTTACAGTCAGCAGGAGCCAGGGATGCATATTTCTGGTGGGATGTCTGTCCTTTGCTAGTTCTATTTTAGAGATTTCCAGGCTCAAGTTCTTTTTTGTTCTGAACTAAGGTTACTGGAGTGAGCTGAAGCTTGCATTCCCTAGTGTCTCTTTGGTCAGTGCAATATACTTCCAAAACCTTTTCTACATTTAACATTTATAAGGATCTGCGGCCATTTAACACACAGTGTTTCTCTCAGAGCCTCATTATAGCACATTTTTATTGAGTGAACAGAGTCACACATTTTACATTGTTCTTGTGTCTGGGATTTTAGCAGAAATGGTTGCTGAAGGAATAAATAATGTGACTCATTCAGCCTGAGAACTGTGGTCTTTTGCTTCTCTTGTAGAGCGAGAGGACACTGCCCTGGAGGTGACAGAGAACAATGCCACATCAGTGGCAGATGGGGATAAGCGTGTGAAACGGAGGCTGCTCATGGGTAGGCACCTTCTTTCCCCTCCCCTGGCCACTGCCATTGTCCCTTTTCCTTCTCAGCTCACTGCATCAGGCCTGAGGTTGGGGGCCACGTACCCTCAACCAGCTGGACTAGGGTGAGCTGCAAAGCCAGGGTGTGTCTGTTCTTCTCCCACTGCTGTTGCTTAGTCACCATCCAAGGTCAGGGGACTGTGGGAAGAGTGCTGGCCAATCCTTCAGAATAATCAAGTCAATGTCCTAGCATTGCCCCAACTAGCTGTGACACTTGGCAAACTGCCCTGAGACTCTGACTCTAGGTCTTTCTTTAAAATGGATGTAATAGAATCTACCTCTTAGGCTTATCAGGAAGCTCAGTTAAGATAATAATATGCAAAAGGGCCCAGAGTCCAGGGCCTGGGACTTAGTGGGTGGCCAGGGGATGCCAGTTCCCTGCCTTCTGAGTTGCTATAATGAGAGAGGCGCTTTGGGCAGCCTCCAGCTTAGCATGGTTATTTGTCAGTTTTTGTGTCCACTGAGTCTTCCATTTCTGACTCAGCCAGTGTTAGTGGTAGGGGAGATGAATGGAGAAGAGTGGCACTTGGCTGTGGGATGTGGGATGGTTTGCCAGTAGGCCTGACAGTCAAGCTGGAGATGAAAGAGAAGTCGAGGCGGTGACCATAAGGATGGGGACCAGACAGTTCTTTTGACATTATTCTGGGGAGTTTGGCTCTATCTAAACAAAACTGATCTTTTGACAGTTTCTGGATTATAATAGGTATGACAATGAACAGTCATCGGTTACCAAGCAGGTAACTTTTCTGCTCTTTAAAATTAATTTAAATTTGTCTTAAAATTAAAATAGTATACATTAATTCTATAAAACCTTAATTACCACTTAGCTTATAATGAAATATATAATTTCCTTATCTCAGACCTTCTCATTTCCTCAGCCCTTTTTCCAGAGGCCATAATTCTCAATTCTCTTAGTGTTTTCTTTTTGCTCATCCTTACCCAAGGTCTGAAAAAATGAAGTGTGCACTTTTTGCTATTTATTTATTTTCTTTTTTTTTCAGTTGTAGTTGGATGCAATACCTTTATTTTATTTATTTTTATGTGGTGCTGAGGATCGAACCCAGGGCCTCGCACTTGCTAGGCCAGCACTCTCCTGCTGAGCCACAACCCTAGCCCACTTTTTGCTATTTCTTGATGTGTCAGTTTCAGGTGTAGCTTTTGACTTCCCGTTGTGGAAGATTAGGTTTTATCCCTCCCTGCTTCCCCTCCTCCAGCACACTTGCACATCTATCCTCTCACCCATGCCCTTAATAGTGTTCTATCACAATTTAAGTCAATATTATGTGTTTATGTTCTTGTGATGACCCATAGCTACATAGGATTTACCCCGAGTCACACCATGAGATATGATTGTATTTTCTTTGGTTAATTTTCTAAATACCTCCTTCCAATTCTTTGGCAAATCTCTTGCACAGCTTTCTAAAACCCTTTGCAGTGTGTTCAAATACAGCAGGATGCTTCCTAACTGGGTTCCCTTCTCTGGCCAGCCTAGCCTGAGGCTTCCCTGCTCTAGGAGGCCCAGCTCCTGCCCACAGCTCCTCTCTCAGCAAGTCCTTTCCCAGCAGCCTAGGAATTCTCTCTGCTGCTCTGTTTTGGAGGATCCCAAGTCTTGTCCTTGTCAGTACAACAAATGAAATTTCACAGTATATCCCTCAACTGTGAATTTTCCCACATGCTGAGTACTTAGTAGGCCTCTTCAAGATGGGCATTCAGGTTCCTTGGTTCTGAGAAATTTTCTTCCATATTTTCTTTACTCTATTTTCTCTGTTCTTTGTCTCTGGAACTCCTACTGGTTGACTGCTTTAACTCCCAAATTGATTATTTACTTTTCTTCTCTTTTTACTTCTTTGTATTTTTTTCCTACTTTCTAGAAATTTTTTTTCACTTTTTTCTTTTAATCTTTCTACAGGATATATATAACTTCTGATTTCATATTTTAATTTTTCAGGAATTTTATTTGGTCTTTTGTTGTAGAAACTTATTTTCACTTCATGAATGCTTCTCTTATCTCTCTGAGGAAATGAGAAGATTTTAACTTCTCTTTTTCCTCCAAATTTCTTTTTCCCTGTTTGACTTGGTATATGTATTTCACATGTAGAGGCTTTCCTAAAATATGTGGTGTTTTTTTGTTTGTTTGTTTTTGTTTTTTAACCTAGGGGGTTGAACCCAGAGGTACTTTACCAATGAGCTATATCCCCAGACCATTTTTAAAAATTTTTTAAAAATTTGAAACAGAGTGTGGTTTAGTTGCCCAGGCTGGCCTAGAAGTTGAGATTCTCCTGCCTCAACTTTCCAAGTCACTGGGATTACAGGTATATGCCACTATGCCCAGCAGTCTAGTGATTCTTGACTGATTTTTTCACATTTAATTGTGAATCTAAAAAGCTAATTGGAGGGGCCAGGGCTGTGGCTCATGGTGGAGTGCTTGCCTAGCACATGTGAGCTGCTGGGTTCGATCCTCAGCACCACATAAAAAATAAATGAATAAATAAAATAAAGGTATTGTGTCCAGCTACAACTAAAAAAATATTTTAAAAAAGCCAATTGAATATTCTGTTGGCCAGTGGACTTCATGTTTAGGTGATTAGAAGTGACTTAACTGTTTCATTTAAAGATCCTCGAATACCAGTACTTATAAATCTTTTTACTTAGGCAGGTCAATTTAGCTAGACAGGATTCCTTCCATCTCCTGCCTAGAGAATTTAAACTTAGCTGCCAGCCTTCTAGGAGCTGGTATGGGAGGCTGTGGGCTAAAGATCTCTCTTCTCAGGGAATAAACTTTTACCCGACCCTTCCTCCCTCTCCTCCTCTGCTATTCCTGGCACTTCTCTGGTCCAGCTTCTCCAAAGCATAAACTCCTCTTGCTGTAGCCAGATTAGGAAAGAGGTAGTCACATGACTGTTCAGAATTAAGAAGGAGCTCTGGGGGTTTGTCTGCCTCTTATACAGACTCTCAATTATCCTTCTATTTTAACTCCATCTTTACCTCTGCTTCTAGAGTAACTTGACACCTCCAATTCCTCCAATTTGGACCATTCTTTGATTCTGTTATTCAAGTGAGTTTTGCTACTTATAGGTAGCCCTTCTGCAGATTCCTAGAATTTAGCGTTCTGTTGTGCCAGTTACTGTTCCTCCATTGACATGCCACTTCCAAAATATTTGATATCTTTCATCTGTTGTCTCTTCTTCCTTTCTTGTCCTTAAGGATTTATACTATAAAAAATTGATTTACTCCCATTTTAGTGAGGTTTTTGAGAGGAAATATAGAAAAACATATATATTACTGATGTCTTTTTAATTAGAACTCAACTTGTTTCCCCAGGGTTTCAAATTCTGTAGTCATGGAAGTAAAATGATGTTCTATGTGTCTAGATGCCAACAATGGAATGAATGTCGAGTCTCACTTTCCTGTTACTTGGAATAACTGTTGTGAAATGCAGAACTAGCAGGCCCTTTGCTTATTGTTCCTCCTCTACATAGTTGCAATATAACTAATATGGCTTATTTTTCATTTACTTGACAGGCAATTTAAGTCATTAGTTTTAAAAATGGCATGGCTGGGGTGGGCAGTACTTATTTACCCTCTCTTGCTGTGTCCATTACTAAGACTGAAAAAAGAAGATTTGGGATTCAGAAAAGAACATTCCCCTTTGCACTGCACTCTCATCTCGCCTGCCAGAGGTGATCATTCTTAGCAGTTTGCTGGTTATGGATCATCAGGAACCTTTTTTTTTTTTTTACTGGGTATTGAACTCAGGGACGTTTTTTACCAGTGAGTTAAATCCCCAGTTCCTTTTATTTTTTTAAATTTTTTTCTTGCCAAGTTGCTCCAGCTGGCCTTGAACTTGCAATCCTACCTCAGCCTCCTAGCTGCTGGGATTACAGGCATGTGCCACCATACCCAGACATCAGGAATTGTTAGTGACTTTAAGTCTACCTGGAGTGGGGAATGGTTCTCTAGGTTAGGAGACATCTTTACTCCTCTGGTCATCCTGACACTCTTCCTCCAGAAATATACCCCATTTAGATGGGTGGAAGCTGCACCTGCTTTTCCTCTATCTTAACTGCATGTAGCAGAGACTTAAGGTGTGACTAACCATTCCACCATGCTTTCTGGCTTTCACAAGCTTTGTCAAACATTAACAACCATATCAGCACTTCTTTGGGAAGCTAACTGCCTTTTCTACCTCCTTGTCAGAAACATGTGCTGTCAACAATGGAGGCTGTGATCGTACTTGCAAGGATACTTCAACAGGTGTTCACTGCAGTTGTCCAGTGGGATTCACTCTCCAGTTGGATGGGAAGACATGTAAAGGTAGTCTTCACCTATGGGGGTGGAGGGTCTGTACACCCTCTTCTGGAGAGGGTCCCGTACTGCTGATGTGTGCAATAGAACCAGGGCTTTCCCTCCATGACCTTCAAATGACTCCAGATTTGCTTATGATTCATATTGATGTGAGCTTTTCTTCTCTGGGCTAGTGGACGGTTATAATTGAGTAAGCTTAATTAAAATCAACTTAATTACACTAACTGTTGAGAAGGTCAGCCTCTACAAGGATCAAATAATCCAATGCAGGCAGTGGCCTTATTAGAAAAAGTCAGTTCAAGGAAACATTCATTGGCAGGAGATAATATCAACCTATCATAAATAATAGCCTCAAAATTATTATGTAAATAACAGTCAAGATTATTATCCAGAGAACTTAATGAATAACTGTACCATTAACTTATACTGATGAAGACAGATTCCATTAACTTGCTAGTATTTCACAGGCAAGAGTACAAAGGATTAGTTCTTTAGCATGATAAAAAATAGATATGAGATAAAACTGAGAACAGATAAGATTGAGTATCAGGAATCATTTAAAAACGTTGGGGCCATTTGATCATTGTGTAATTTGCCAAAACAAATGCTCTAGTCCCTTATAACTTTAATCATTAATCTAGAATAGAATGTTTACTAATGGGAACTATATCTTATCTTGAGAGAGTACTACAAGCATGGAAATACAATGGGGCATCACTACTCGTTCCCACTGTTTGTTTCCTTAATACTTGTTAAGGGCATCGGAAGTCAGTTTGAATGACGCTGTCTTTCAAAACTGGTTCAGCCAGACAAGAAAACATATAAGATTAAAAACATTAGCAAACATTTTTAAATGCTTTTCAGGATCTGTTTTTATTTCAGAGAATAATGAGCACACACAACAGCACTTGGGGGATTTGTGGGAAGCAAGGCAATTTTGCTCTCTGGTTTGCTGTTGCCTGTCTGTTACAGATATTGATGAGTGCCAGATCCGAAATGGAGGTTGTGATCACTTCTGCAAAAATACTGTGGGCAGTTTTGATTGTAGCTGCACAAAAGGATTTAAATTATTAACTGATGAGAAGTCTTGCCAAGGTATGTGCTGAAAATGTAGCAGTGCTCTGCAATGGTCCTCTGGTTGGAACAGAGAAGATGTTACCCACCTCTCCGCCCCCCACCCCACATTCCCCAGTAGACTCTGGCTCAACTGGTTTCCTGACAAGAGTCACTAATCCAACTTCTAACTTGGGCTTCACTTATTTCATCTGATAGGTAGAATAAAAGCAAGAATGTAGCTCACAGGTATATTTTGGAAATTAAGTTATTAATGATTAGAACATCTCAGCTGGGCATGGTGGCACACGCCTGTAATCCCAGCAGCTCTGGAGGCTGAGGCAGGAGAATCTCAGGTTCAAAGTCAGCCTCAGCAACTTGGCAAGGCTGTAAGCAACCTAGTGAGACCCTGTCTCAAAATAAAAAATAAAAAGGACTGGGGATGTGGCTAAGTGGTTAAGCACCCTTGGATTCAATCCCTGGTACGAAAAAAAAGAACACCTCAAAGAATCCACCTGATGTGACTACAGCAGCACTCACTGCTTGAAATGGAATGAAATGCAGTGCAAACAGGGTTGCATCAGGGTGTTGAGATATGGATAATTTTCCTTTTTTAAGAATTATTTTCATGTTATTGACCTGATGACAAAAAAGGTATTTTAGCAAAAATCTGTAGAATTAGAGAACACACCTTCCTAGCCAAAAGATGGGTTCATAACCAAGACCATGAACCAGCTGGTCTCTTCCTATAGTTCTTGTTTTGAATAACCAGCCTTTGATGCTTAGAAGAAGGTTAGAGATGGAGGGAGGGGGTTGTGTGGTAGAGACACTGGTTGGTTTTTAAGCAGTATTACAGACCCCTTTTCAAATACATCCTTCCCACATAAGGTGGACAGCAAGGAAACTTCCTTTGGCAGCAGTCATTGGTATTAACAATTGTTTTGGGTGGTGGGAAGCTGTCTTGGGGCATGTTATCATTAATAGTTTCAGATAAACAGGGCTGGGGATGTGGCTCAAGTGGTAGCATGCTCACCTGGTATGCTTGCGGCCCGGGTTCGATCCTCAGCACCACATACAAAGATGTGTCCATCGAAAACTAAAAAAATAAATAAATATTTAAAAAATTCTCTCTCTCTCTCAAAAAAAATAGTTTCAGATAAGCACTTTTATGTCCTATTAATATACAGGAAAAACTCTCAGAAAAGATCTGCTGTCATTTGTTCTTGCTGTGTTTCTGGGAATAAAGACTGCCTTATTTGGCTTGTTAGAAATCTCAGCATTAAATCAGAGTCAGGCCAGGTGTGGTGGCACAAGTTTGTAATCCCAGCTTCTCAAGAGTCTGAGGCAAGAGGATTGCCAGGTTCAAGGACAGCCTCAATAATGTAGCAAGCCCGTCTCAAAACAAAAAATAGAAAAGACTAGGACTGTAGCTCAGTGGTAAAGATCTGATTTCACTTTGTATAACAAGTTGTAACATTATCTTTTTAAAAAACTGTATGGTGTGAATTAGGTTTTATTAATACATAATTTGCCGGGCAGTTCAAATATATTCTCCTTTAAATTCAGTGAGTTAGTGCTAGATGATCATTGTGTGGTTTTCTTCAGTTTGACTTGGAAAGCAAATTTGCTGTTCCACATAATGTTTTATAATGTATAGAGCAAGCAATACTGTTTAAGCTGTGTAAACACATTAAAAAGGAATTAGGAAAGTGATCTCATTATTTTTGGCAAAGAGAAAGCCTAGAGTGAGCTGCCAAAGTCAGCTACTGAACGAGTCCACTTTCTCAGCAACTGGCTGATATTAATAACAGATTTCATAGAATGGCATCAATTACTAGGGAAGAAACTGACTTTTTCTCATTTTTCACTGATCAGTCTTACTAGAATAAATATTTGCACAGAACAAATTTGCTGGAAAAATTGCCAGGATTTCTGGGAAAAGCTAGGAATGAAGATATTTTGCAAGAATTTGCCCTTTTTTATTTCACTTTTTCATTCCTCCTGATCCATCCAAATGTTTGTTTTTTATTAATGTAGTTTCTTGTGGCACATTCAGTGTTGAAAAAGTGGTGTAGAAATGGTCTAGTTAGCTTCCACCAAGTGCTGCACTCATCCTGGTTTATCCATTTGGAGACATAAGTTGTAACTTTAAAACCCTCTAAAGACTTGAGGAAGTCTACAGGAAAGACGTGGGGGCCAGACCATGCAAGAAGAGATGATTAGATAGACACATGCAGTTTCCTGAGGCTAGTGTGCATAACCCCATCCGTAGCCAAGGATGCATTTACACTGAACCAGGAAGATAGGGGACACATGCATTTTCACTGAACCAGGAAGATAGGGGACACATGGTGCTGGACTATGGGGGAGGAACACAACCAAGGGACTGGTCAAGGAGAACCAGTTTGGAGTTTAACCACCTAATTTCCATGTCTGCCATAGAAAACTACGGAGGTTATTAATGTTGATACATTCTTTTAGTGCAGAGGGCTTTAAAACCCAGGATTAACTGGCTTCTTGGTTAATCTGAAGACTAATTCTGGGAAGATCAGAAAGAGAGGAGAACCAGATTTACTTCCAACACAAGGGTTTCCTTTGTTTATTTCACCATAGCTTATAAAGTTACTGGTGCTATTTTACCAATAGTAATATAACAATAATAATGTACAGCTAGTATCATTGTTTATAATATAGTTTTCAAAAATCTTTTTTAGGTATGTTATCTCATGTGACTTTCATTTACTTATCTTTGCAAATAAGTATGGGTGAAAGAGACAAATTAAACCTAAAGGTATGTGCAGTTTGCAACAGAATTTGGAAATAAGGGTCCTGGCAGTGAGCAGACCTATGGTGGGCTGCTCAATTCTTTCTTTGACACAAATGAGAGAGGAGGATGAATAGGAAATCTCCCCCACCGCCATGTGTTGTTTGGGTTCTTGCTCAGCAACTGGCGTTTATTATAAACCTCTCCCCTCATTTGTCAGAGCTGGTTTCATCAGCCCTCTCCCTTTGGCAATTACAGATGTGGATGAGTGCTCTTTGGATAGGACCTGTGACCACAGCTGTATCAACCACCCTGGCACATTTGCTTGTGCTTGCAACAAAGGGTACACTCTCTATGGCTTCACCCACTGTGGAGGTGAGTGGACTGTCCTCTAGGCTTGGGAGATAGGGTGAAGTTGGTCCTGGGGGTGGGGAGCAGGGCTCATCTCCAAGGTTTATTTTCCTACAGTAGGGGCAAAAGGTACATCACAGTCCCTGCACAATTGCAACAGGTCCATCATCTTAAGGGAAGCATTTGCTGAAAGAGGACCTGTCCACATTTATCCTTTTAACATGTCTGGTGTGAAGTGGAGCAGAGAGAGAAACTGAGCTCTTTCAGCTGTGGATTGATTCTTCCTTGACTTTATTGACTTGTGGTTGTATTCAGAGAGTGGGAGGGTCTCTCAGGAGCTGAGACCCTGTCCACTGGAACTTCACATCAGACAGTAAAGTTGCAGTCCTCAGAGAGGCTTGGCAGGGCACCAACCAATTCCTGCTGTGCAGAGCACTGGCTGCACAAAACCTTAGTCCGAGCCCCATAGTTAGGTCTTTGAACTGCAAGTGGAACCATTGTATTTCTCTCTCCATTCTGTTCACATTTAGCAACGTAGTCTCATAACCTTGAAGTCAAGCAGGCTATAGTCTAAATCAGATTCAGCACCAACTGACTCCCATTCCATTCCCCTGGCCATCAGATTCACCCAGCAATCTTTGAGAACACAGATTCAGATTTCAAGGTAATTCTGAGAATCTGCAGGACTTGGGAACCACTGGCCTGAATACTTGCTGCCTAGTCTTTCTTTCCTGTGCTTAAGAAGAATGGATCATGTTGTCTCCTTCCTCCTCAACACATCCTTAACATGCCTAACTGTATAGCTACTGAGTTTGCCAAGAAACACTAACAAAATGTACCCTAAATATGGAAGTGAATCTGGGGCCTCCTTCTGATGGGACTTAGTCTCGTGTTGACACGAGTCAGTATATGCCACTTCTGTTTTCTGTACCTCAACTGAGGCAACAGTCAAATAGGAGTCTGAATTCTGACTCCCTTGATGTTCAACACAGAATATGATGGAGTTTTAAATTAGAAGCCTGTGGGGTATCCAAGTTTGAACATCTGAAAGCAGAGTGTGGTCCCTTCTGAGGTTTCCTAACTGGGCAATGGTTCAGTGAACAGAGGAACTTGAGACCTCCCCTAGTGAGGCTCATGCCAATGGGAAATTTGGGGCATGTGGTCAGTGGGTGCCAAGTTTGAAGGCAGTCAGCATCTTTCCTTTGTTTGGTGACTTTCAACCATGTGACGTCGCTGCTGCTCCTTCCTCAAGGGAAGGATAGTGTCAGCCCTTTCAGTGACATGCTGCTGTGACAGGGGAGCATCTTGTTCCACAGACACCAACGAGTGCAGCATCAACAACGGAGGCTGTCAGCAGGTCTGTGCAAACACAGTGGGCAGCTATGAATGCCAGTGCCATCCCGGGTACAAGCTCCACTGGAATAAAAAGGACTGTGTGGGTAAGGGGCACCGGCCACAGAGCAGACATAGCCAGTGGGGCTCACTGCTGGCCCAGAGGTGGGAGGCTCTGCGTGCTCCATGTCCTCTGGACCCAGAGCACCCTGACCTTCTCCATAAGATTTTCTCCCCTTTGCAGCAGCAGCCAGTCTTTAAATAGTCCAAAAACAGGAGATACTTTTCAGGCTCTTTGGTGTTTCCTTCTGTGCTTCTGCGTAGGTTGGAACTTACTTCTGTTTCCCTGGTTGCTCTTCTGCATGAAAAAAATTGCACACCAGGGAGGGACTCCTTGACCTTGGTGGGAAGTGGGGCCTGTGTCTGTGTTCTGTGTGGGCATCAGCTTTATTTTCTTTACTTGGGGCCTTTGGTGCATGGGATTCAGCTGTCCTTGTCACACTTAAAAATGTCCTTCTCTTTCTGTAAGTGTCTGTGTTTTGTCCTGTTTAGAAGTGAAGGGGTTCCTGTCCACTAGTGTGTCACCCCATGTGTCCCTGCATTGTGGGAAGAGTGGTGGAGGAGACAGGTGCTTCCTAAGATGTCACTCTGGCATTCACCTCTCTTCAGGTGAGTGGGTTTGGTCCCCAGGGGCAGATCCTCATACCAGGGCCAGGTCTTCCTGGCCTGTAGGTGCTGGAAGCCCTCAAAGGCCTTTCAGGTCCTTGACCAGATACTTTTGACCACCAGAGGCCCATGCTTTCAGGCCCCATATGCTGGGTGTTTTTCTAGTGATACAAATAAGAGTGGGGTGGGGGTGATTTTAGCTGCCATCAGGATAGCCCATAGTAACCTTGCTTATGCATTTGACAATTCACATTCTGTCTGTCAGGACTGCAAGAGGCCTATTCTGTCACCTGCGGCTCTTCTTCTCCTCTCAGGAGCAAACAGCAAAAATCAAATGACTCTGCTTTTGGGGGTAATTACCAAATCTACGTATTTTCTTGGGGCTTGTGTTCAGTGGCCTTTATGCAAGGGTGCTGTTCTTGGGCACTGGATTTGTTTTTTTCTTTCTTAATCTCGAGGCTTGAGCATTTGCAAGATGTTCTTGTCTGCAGACTTAGTGCCTCGAATCTGACTCACCCATGTAACAGATACTTATTGAACATTCACGGTGTACTCAGCAGCACTGTGTTCAACCCTGGTGGGTCAACATATTGGACAGAGACCCACAGAGCTCTGGAACTAGGAAACTCAGGTCTCCCAAATTCCCTCTATGTCTCAGAGGGCCTGCAAGAAATGTGCCTGGATACCTGGCATTAATGGAGATAGTCCTGGGCAGAACAGATGGAGCAATGATTCTGCCCCCAAAAGGGCAAATCCTTTCCAATTTGTCAAAAGACTAAGAATGAGATCCAGAGTTTTCATTAGGCCTTATCTGCTCAGATGTATGCACATTTGTCACTCTGTCATAAGAATATCTGAATGAGGCCCATATGACATCTTGATGTCCATATTACTTTTATGGGCAAAGATAGATACCCAAGCTGTGCAGTAATCAAGTAGTTAAAATGTGCTGCCCACTAAATTATATGTATTAACTGATTTAATCTATACCACAATCCTCTGAGTCAATTTTATTAGTATCCTCATTAACCAGACAAGGCACTGAAGCTCAGAGAGATAAAATTCCAGTAAGAAATAGAAGAACCAGGATTTGAACCTAGGCAATCTGAGTTCAGAATCTTAAGCACTATCATTCACTGCCATATATATATATATATATATATATTTTTTTTTTTTTTTAAGTTGTCAAAGGACCTTTATTTATTTATACATGGTGCTGAGAATCAAAACCTTTTGGGGGTTGTACTTCTGAGCTTCTTCCATAACGTAGTTATGAAGCTCAGGAAAAACCTGTGAGTTTTTGCCTCACGCATGCTAGGCAAGCCCTCTACCACTGAGCCATTACTCCAGTCCCATTCACTGCCCTTTTTGTTGGATGTTTGGGACCCAGTCAGAGTGGACATCATGGTATGTTTCATCAAATTCCTCAGTGATGATTCCTTGGTGATTTAGGCTACCCAAGGGTGGGAAAGCAAATAGCCAACAGCTACCCAGTTTTTACTGTGTAGCAGTCAGCCAGCTAAACAACTTCTTTTTTTTTTTTGGCATTATTACACTTAATCCTTACAACAGCCTGGTAACATAGGTACTTAAATGTGTCTATTTTACAGATGAAGAAACTGAGGCTTAGGGAGATTAAAAACTTGCTCAATGTGTAATAAGAATTATGATACATTCTGCTGTCATGTATTTAAAAAATAAAAGTAATTAAAAAATAAATAAAAACTTGCTCAAGTTCTTATCACAAGTCAAGGATCTAGAATCCAAATGTAGGTCATGGATTCCAGAGCCTAATGTGTGGTGAAGACTGATTCTGGGACTGCCCCCAGAATTCTGCACAAAGCCCCTTAGAGTGGGACCTGTGTTCCCTGCCAGGCCCTGGAAATCTAATAATGTCTGGATTGGCAGCTGCCTCAGCCCTATCCTCTCAGGGCAGGCATACATGGGAGAGTCTTCCCTTCACTCTCTCCTTAGATGGTCTTATCCAGATTTGAGACTGAGAAATTGGACTTCATTATCAGGAACAAAATTGGCCTCATCTTTTTTTAAAATTTTTTTTCTATAGTTGTAGATGGACATCATGCCTTTATTTTATTTGTTTATTTTTTTTTATGCAGTGCTAAAGATCAAACCCTGTGCCTCACATGTGCTAGGCAAGCACTCTGCCACTGAGCTACAGCCCCTGCCCCAGCCTCATCTTTTATCTCACCGTGGAGGCTGTTTTTGGCTCTTTCTTTGTTATATTTGAACATTGGATTCATTCATCTCTCCCCTGAGGAGATTAGTGTAACACCGAGAAAGCTCCAGGTGTCCCCAGTCCAGGGTAATGAGCATTCCATGATCCAAACCTTTCTTGGTCTCAGGTGAGAGAGGGGGCTCAGGGTGTGCCGTGCAGTGGGACCCAGTCAACATCCACCTGGTGTTTCCGTTCCTTTGCCTTTGAAGGTAACTTCTCTCACTTGTTTCTTTCTGAAGATGTCACCACCATCAGGACAAGTGTAACCTTTAAGTTAAATGAAGGCAAGTGTAGTTTGAAAAAGGCTGAGCTGTTTCCCGAGGGTCTGCGACCAGCACTACCAGGTATGGAATCAGATGGCTGGTGTGTTGGGAAAGGGGCCTGTGATGCCTGAGCCGGAGGTCTGAGGGGCACTTCAGATGGGATTGAACTTCAGCATCTCCAGGGACTTTTGTCACCAGAGGGAGCAGAGCCTAGCTTAGCACCCCTATACCCTTTTGGGATTGTACTTCTGAGCTTCCTCCATAAAGTAGTTGATGAAGCTCAGGAAAAACCTGTGAGTTCAAAGGAGTCAATAAGGGCTTAAGATGAATTAGCAATGTGTGTTTGCATTGGGTTAAATTTTCTGGATCTTAGAGTTTGCTTGAAGAGCAAGCCAAAGAAATTTGAAAAAAAAGGGTTGGCTCAGAAATGATAGCTTTGATGAACAAAGATGTAATATCCAGCATTCCTGCTGCTCTGTTTTTTGGAAACTGTGACTCCATTGGCTTCAACAGAACAAATACCATCTAAGTATAATTGGCCTTACTGAAACAAGCAACATCTTTCTCTTCTTTCTTCCTCAGCTCACATTTTCTGTATTATTTCAGAGGATACTTTTGGAGATAAAAAAAAATAAGGATTTATGTATTAAGAGGTTTCTTTCCCCAGTCTACCCTCAAAAAAATAAATAAATAAATAAAAATAAAGCTTACTCTAGTTACTTTGACTTCCTGCTGGTAACTAACCAACATCAATTTTGGTACCTCTATTTTATGGAATATTAGGCAGCTATTAACTATATGTATTAAAAGAATGTTTAATGGCAGGAAAATGTCCTTGTTATAATGCTAAGATGGAAAGGGGGACAGAAAACAACTATATATCTAATACAATCTAAATTGTATGAAAAAGTGAAGTGGAAGGAAAACAGAAAGATCACTGTGTGAGTAATGGTTATATCTGGGTAGAGGATGACAAGTGATTGATTTTAATTTTTTCTACATTTTTAATATGCTCCTTAGTGAGCATTCATACTTTTAAACCAGAAGGAAGCATTATTGAAAAAAGATTTGGTCTGGAGTCTACTTAATGGATTACACCAATATGCTAATTTCTTAGTTTTGATAAATATGATGTTAGGGTAAGATGTTAGCAGGGTAAACTGAGTAGAGGTTATGTGGGAACTCTCAATACTATCTTAGCAACTTTTCTAGGAATCTGAACTTCAAAATAAAAAGCTTTAAAAAAGTAGATATGGGAAAATTGAAAGGAAAAAGTTTCAAGATGAATATCTTTTTAGTTTACAATTTTAAGTTAATTTTATGAAAAGGTAAAACATCTTTTAGGAGAAAATACAGAGAAGAAATAAATTTATCTCTTTTGGCTCTTGATGAGCTATTGTTTTGAATATACTTGTAATGTTAAAGAAGAATACAAAGATAATTCTTCAGTTCAATAAAATAACATTTTAAAATAGAGCCAAATTAATCATGTGGATATGTGGACCTGCTTGATCTTTGATTCCGGTTAGCAATCATTAATCACCAGATTCACTGGAAGTCGCTGGGATGGGAGACTGCCAAAGTCAGGAACAGAGATATGCAAATCCTGGTGACATACAAAAATTCCACTGTCATCCTAGATGCCTTCATGATATTGTTTGGTTCTGTTGATTCTTTGTGCCATTTTTTTCCCCTGGTTATTTAAACATGAGACATCAAGCTGGGTGTGGTGGCACATACCTGTGAACTCAGCAACTCAGGAGGCTGGGGCAGGGAGGATGGCAAGTTCGAGGCCAGCCAGAGCAGCAATAAGAAACAAAAAGGGCTGGGATGCAGCTCAGTAGTAGAGCACCCCTCCTCCCCTGCCCTGGGGTTCAATCCCCAGTACCACAAAAAGACAAAGGAAAACAAAACAGAAAAAAAAAATAAAAATGAGACATCACTGTTGATATGCTTTCCAGCTCTCCCTTCTGGTTAGAATTATGTCAGGGTCAGTTTGCCTGAAAGCAGAAGTTGGTTTCCCTTCTGCTCCTGCACTAATTCCCTCTGCTGGGGCCCTCACAGTCCAGTTTTAAGGAAACCAACTGTGAAGCCAGGCATGGTGGCACCTACCTGTAATCCCAGCAACTCAGGAGACTGAGGCAAGTTTGAAGCCAGCCTGGGCAATTTAGCAAGGCCCTAAGCAATTTAGCAAGACCCTGTGTCAAAAAGTAAAATGGACTGGGGATGTGGCTCAGTGGTTAAGCATCTCTGGTTCCATCCCCAGTACCAAAAAACAAAAACAACAACCACAAAAAACAACTGTGAGAATGTGGGCACATCTCAGCAAACTATCAGCAGGGTTTTGATGTGAAACGACCCCTGGTTCTCCTCTTCCACACATGTGGCTGGCTAGTCGGACACACCCAGCATTTGTCCATGAAAAGAATTTTCAAGAGCTAGATTGTAAAGTTATATAGGAGGCGATACTGGCTCTTCAAGATGAAAATGTCATCATGCTCCAAGCTGGGGGCTTTCAGCGTCTCGCCATGTGGAATTAATCACGTAGTCCCTGGAGAGTTGTTTTAATGAAATGTTTACTGAGCTTTAGCGAATGTTCAACTGAGTGCTTTGCCAGGACTTGGCTCCCGATAATTTTGTTTCTTCATACAGAGAAGCACAGCTCAGTAAAAGAGAGCTTTCGCTACGCAAACCTTACATGCAGCCCTGGCAAGCAAGTCCCAGCACCCCCTGGCCGATCAAGCACCCCTAAGGAAATGTTTATCACTGTTGAGTTTGAGCGTGAAACTTACCAAAAGGAGGTGACAGGTTGGTCTGAAAGCCATCCGTGGTGCCAGGCTTCTCACAGCTTGCTCCTTCTTTCTTTACCTTTTACCTTTCATCATTCCTGGGGGGAAAGTAGTGCAAACACTGAAGTATCTCCTGTTTTATTTTCACCCCCAAACTACACAAATTGGTTTAGAACCTGATGATTTTCTCTGCTTCAAAAAGACCCAAAGCTATCGTTTTGGTCAATAAATTTCTGTTTGAATTGAATGCTGCCCAGCCTGCTAGGTGCCCACCTCCAGGTCTCGCCCTTTCTGGTCCACAGGGAACTCGGGGTGTTGGTGGGCCCTGCAGTTGGTCTGGACATCCTCACACACTGCAGCCTGACTTCCCCCCCATGTTGCTGTCCTTGTTTCTGCAGCTTCTTGTGATCTGAGCTGTATTGTGAAGCGAACAGAGAAGCGGCTGCGGAAGGCCATCCGCACGCTCAGGAAGGCTGCCCACAGGGAGCAGTTTCACCTTCAGCTCTCAGGCATGGACCTTGATGTGACTAAAAAGTCTCCCAGAACATCCGAACAGCAGGCAGAGTCCTGTGGAGTGGGTCAGGGCCATACAGAAAACCAATGCGGTGAGTAGCCCAGGACATGCCTGTCTACAGAACTGCATTGAGCTCTGTGAACACTAAAGGTAACCAGTGGGGAATCTGGGCCATCCTTCCTTCTCTGGGCTCATAGAACGCCTTTGGAAGCCCTTTCTCATCTGGTACCTGTCATGCTAGTGTTGTCCTGCCTATGAGACCTGGAGCTCCCTGGGGGCTGAGTTAGTGTTGCTCACCTCTTTCCCTGGCACCTGGCACCATGCCTAGCTTGTGGTGGGGACTGAAGTCACTGTTGAACTGAGGGACAAAAAGAAAGAGTCAGGATTTATAGGAAGGATGCTGCCCTTTAAATCCCCAAGGGATCTTCTTTGTACTTTTTATTTTTATTTTTTAGAGCCCTGTTCCCTGGCTGGGGCAGGACTGGGGTGTGAGGCACCCCAGAGCCTTTTTCATACTCCATTCTGTCATCACTTCCTAAAGGCACTTCTCTCTGGCTTGATTGCTGGTAGCAGGGAACAAACTCCTGTCCATAGTCTTGTACAGAGGCAAAGCTAGGGCCACCCTGCTGCCTTGTGAGAGTCCTGAGCTTCTGCACAAGGCTCCTAGGAGTGTCAGTTCTGTGGTATGTTGTTGTTCTGTGATATGTTTGAGGATTAACTTTGACAAACTTTCAGTTCTTCTGATAAATCTAGCAAAAGGTTCCACAGTGATCAGTTTTAAAATGTTTTTGTTGTCAGAGGCTGTTCCAGGCCAGTCTCCAGGGGAGACTCTACTTGAAAAGTCTTAAATAGGGAAAAATGGAGTCTCACTTTATAGTAGTAATGGCAATTTATTGAGTTCTATTAGCAAGCACAACACTGAGCCCTGTGTCTCCATTATCTCATTTAATCCTCATAGTAACCCTGCCAGGTTTAATAGGTGAACAGCCTGAAGCTCTTCTCTTGCTGAAGATCCCATTGGTGGTCTAATTCGAAAGTCTGTGCTCTGGTTCCAAATAAGGTGGAGTTCAATAGTCAGCCTCCTCAAAGTAAATAGATATTCTTTCTAAAATTGTCAATAGGGACTGGGGTTGTGGCTCAGCAGTAGAGCGCTTGCTTAGCACGTGCAAGGCCCTGGGTTCGATCCTCAGCACCACATAAAAATAAATTAAAAAGGTATTGTGCCCAACTACAACCATATATATATATATATATATATATATATATATATATATATTTTTTTTTTTTTTAAGTGTCAGTAGAATCATGAGGCCTGAGAACTGCAGCTTAGGTAAGATGTAATAAGTTAGGGTTTGTGAATAACCAAAGCTGAGCCCAGCCAAACTGTCAACAACAGCACCACAGCTCCAATCTGTTCCTTTGCCAAAACTTGGTGAAAATCAAGTGTAACTGTTCACAAGGGGCTGGTTCCCGGAGACCTCTGACTTTTACTCCAGCTGATTCTTTTAAGAAGAAAGAAGAAAAAGAAAGTAAATATAACCCATCTGGTTGATTTATTCTAATTTTAAATCCCAAGAGCTCCAGTTTCCATGCCAAAATAGTGGTGAAGGTTGGCTTTGCCTCCCTACTTTTTAGGGTGAGTGAAGAAACTTGGGGTGGGCAAGCTGGGCCTCTTCTTGACCTCTCAGAACTAAACTGCACCCCTCTCCCCACTAACTCTCCTGTTGGGGTAAGCCTGTGGGCTCACCAGGGAGCCTTCATGGTCTGTTAAGAATGTAGGAAAACTATTATAAAGGGCAGGTGGACCAACTCCCCAGGGAGACCATTACTAATACTATCATGGGTATGGTATGCTTCTGGGAACTAAACCAAGGATAGGGGCAGGAGTTAACAGAGGCCTCATGATCATGACAACCTGTGAAGGATACTGTAGAGGGTTTTGTCTCTCTTGTGGTGTGTGAAGGTGCCCCTGAGATGCCACGCTAAATTTGGTTGTCATGCTAAATTTGGTTGTCATTTGTTCCTAAGAGAGACAGTGTGGCTTATCTCAAGCTCCCTCTAAAATTGCATGAATTTTGTAGCCTACATGAGATCAAATCTTTGCCACCTTGTCAGAAAGCAATGTTGAAGATTCCATCAGCCCTACTTTCCCCCTCTTGCATAAGGAATTACTGGCATTCCTTCTTTTCTTCTGTCTGCTAGAGGAAGGAATAGATACAAAGAAAGGTTGAATGTGTTAATTAGAAAAGATTTTTACCCAGCAGGTACATGGCATTTTGTGTGTGTGTGTGTGTGTGTGTGTTCTGATCTCTCTCCTGAGCCTTGGCCTTCTGTGTAGCTGGCACTACTCCTTCTCTCTTATAAATCCACCAGTTCCATCAGAGGGCTCCAACTTATCTAATCCTGGTCACTTCCCAAAGATCTCACCTTTAAATGTTTCAGTTGGTTTAACTTTGCACTCTCTTAGTATGTCACAATGGAGATTAAATGTCAACATACGAACCCTTGGACAACATGTTCAAATGATGTTAAAGCCTCCCCAAAAGTGTTTTGAATGACCTGGAAGGAGAAATGGAATTATTGTTTATCTGTTAAGATATTTCAATTTAGTTTATTTATTTATTTTTATTTTATTTTATATAGTTTTTGGTGGACCTTTATTTTTTACTTATTTATGTGTGGTGCTGAGAATCAAACCTGGTGCCTCATGCATGCTAAGCAAGCGCTCTACCACTGAGCCACACCCCAAGCCCCTTAATTTAGTTTTAATTTTAAAAGTGCTACATGTTCCAAGTGGTACAGAAATACATATAGTAAAGATGAAAGTTTTCCCCACAGCTGCCCATCCCACTTCCCAGCATCGATCAGTGTTATAATTTGCTATGTGTTTTTTCTCGTTTGTTTTTATGTACATATGAAAATGAAATTTTATGCAGTCCCCCAATAAATATTTACTCAGCTCTTCCTGTGTGTCAGGTACCACTTTAGGTGCCAGAATCCAGCAATGAAAAATATAAGTAAAAATCTCAGCCCTCATGAAGTTTACAGTTCTGGAGGGGGAGACAGGCAGCCAACCCATGAACGTAGACATACAGCATGCAGCAGATGGTGACAAGGGTGCAGAGAGCAGGCTGGCTGGGGAGTGCAATAGAAGGTACTCAGGCAAAGTGAGGGATGAAAAGGAACTCATTTTCCCCAAATGCTGACTGTGGTCAGTGAAGGCCTCATTGCAAAGTGTCATTTGAGCAGAAATGCAAAGGATAGGATGAAGCAAGCTATGGGGACATGGAGAAGAGGAGAGTTCTGGGCAAAGAGAACAGCGAGTGAAGCACTCAGAGGAACTGGAGGGAAGCCAAGGGAGATGAGAGCAGAGGGAGGGAGGCAGAGCAATTATGTCAGAGCAGGAGCAGAGGCCTGGAGCTTGGCAGGGGCAGGGGCAGGGGCAGGGGCGGGGGCGGGGGCGGGGGCGGGGGGGGGGGCGGGGGGGGGTGGGGTGGGGACCAGAAATGAGTGAGGACTCCAACTCTGAATCTGAGGGAGGAAGGAAGCCAGTCAGAGGCTTTGTGTAGAGCAGTAACAGTGTTTTGACTTACATTTGGAAATATAACTTTGGCTGCTGTGTAGAAAATGGGTTTATGTGTGAATAAACATATTTAAAAATATAACAATACAATTTGAATACTGCTACATGTTGTTTTTAACTATAGAATACATCACAGGCATCTTTCTGTGCCAGCATGGAAGCTACATCATTTCTTTTAATGGTTTCTAGTTTATATCTGTCTTAAAACAACAGTATTTGTTAGCTTTGCTCCTATTGGTGGACACTAAACTTATTTCTTTTTTTTTTTTTTTTACACAAACAGTGCTTCTGTGAATACCCTTTTTTGTACACATGTTGACATTCCTGAAGGACAGACTTGCAGAAGTACAATTGCCAGGTCAAAGAACATGCATATTTGGGGCTGAGGTTGTAGCTCAGTGGTAGAGCACTTGCCTATCATGTGTGAGGCACTGGGTTTGATATGCAGCACCACATGAAAATAAATAAATAAAATAAAGGTATAAAAATTCCCCTATTAAAAAAATAATATGCATATTTAAAACAATAATAGATAATAATAATTATCTATTAATAATAATAGATAGCTGCCAAATTACCCTCCAAAAAAAAAACCAATGTACTGTTCCTTCCAGTATTGTGTCTGAGTGTGTATAAAAATAATAAAGGCATTTAAACTTGTTTTTCTTTGATTATTAGTAAGACTGAGCCTGCTGTCTTAGGTCTAGTCATTTGTATTTCTTTTTCTCAGAACATCCATAGTCTTTGTTTATTTTTCCATTGACTTGTTTGACTTTCCAATAGCCTTTTAAAAAATAAAATTTTAAAGTCCCAAGTTACATCAAAGGAAATAACTTCTGACAAAATTTAAGACTTTCTTATTGTCATTTGAACATAGTAAAGTCTTTTTATTAATTTGGTATTTGGGGACTTTGGAAGCAACCCACTCTGCAAGTGACTTTTGGACCATCTGTGATCCATTTTAGTAAGATGGTGAAAAAGAAAAGAAAAGCAATTATATTCTACAAGGAACAAATTTCTTAAGCTCCATACAGGACTATATGAAGTCCTTCATGCCTAAAGAAAAATTAACAGTGACCCAGCATTATACTTTCATGACGTCAGCTAAAGGAAAAACTTTTTAAGAAATAGACTTGATAATAGGCCTATTTTTGTATTTGACTTCTTAAAACTTGCTGAGATTTTTAAGAGAATACAGGCAACTGGTGAACTGGGAAGTATTTCAGTGCCTGGGTTCTTGAGAGAATAGGAAAGTTCAATTCAGTTTTTACTAGCAGTAGCTTTCCTCTGCAGCAATTGAGAAAAGTTAATTCAGCTAGGACTTATTGAGGCTCCACTCCATTCGCTCGATGTGCTTGAGATGAAGCTGTGAGAACGTAACGAGCAAGAGGCCAGTTTGTATGAAGTTCACATGCCAATAGAGGGAGATGGAAATTAAAAAGTAAAGAAAGGAAATAATTCCAGAAGTTTATGTGCTGTGAAGATAATAAAACTGAGAGGTTTGGAGG